TTAATGATAACAATCGCAATGTTAATGATTATAATAACAATAATAGGACTAGTAACAATAGTCGTTGTAGCAGAGGGTGTCGAGCAGGAACACGGGGGCAGCAGGTGACCCGCAACCACAGATCCAGACTCCACAGCTCCAGAGCCAGAAACACCTGCAGGAAGTGATAGGAGAGAGGAGAGGGACGAGAAGCACAAGACTACCAGAAAGGGGAGAAGTTGTGTTAGTAACATGCAATAATGGATGAGGTTGCATACAGAGGGAGAGAAAGTAGAGGAGAGAGGAGCTCAGTGCATCATGGGAAATCCCCCGGCAGTCTAGGCCTATAGCAGCATAACTAAGGGATGGTTCAGGACTCACCTGAGCCAGCCCTAACTATAAGCTTTATCAAAGAGGAAAGTCTTAAGCCTACTCTTAAATGTGGAGATGGTGTCTGCCTCCTGAACCCAAACTGGAACCTGGTTCCACAGGAGAGGAACTTGATAGCTGAACGCTCTGGCTCCCATTCTACTTTTGGAGACTCTAGGAACCACAAGTAACCCTGCATTCTGGGAGCGCAGTGCTCTGGTGGGGTAGTAAGGTACTATGAGCTCTTTAAGATAAGATGGTGCCTGACCATTAAGAGCTTTGTGGGTAAGAAGAATGATTTTAAATTCTATTCTGGATTTTACTGGAAGCCAATGCAAAGAAGCTAAAACAGGAGAAATATGATCTCTTTTCCTGGTTCCTGTCAGAACACATGCTACAGCATTCTGAATCAGCTGAAGAGTCTTAATGGACTTTTTTGAGCAGCCTGATAATATGGAATTGCAGTAATCCAGCCTAGAAGTAACAAATGCATGGACTAGTTTTTCTGCATCATTTTTAGACAGGATGTTCCTGATTTTCGAATATTATGTAGGTGAAAAAAGGAGGTCCTTGAAATTTTCTTAATGTGAGACTTAAACGACATGTCCTGATCAAAGATAACACCAAGATTCCTCACAGTGGTGCTGGAGGCCAGGGCGATGCCATCAAGGGAAACTATATCTTTAGATAATGCGTCACGGAGGTGCTTAGGCCCCAGAACAGTAACTTCAGTTTTATCTGAGTTTAACATTAGAAAATTACAGGTCATCCAGGTTTTAACATCCTGAAGGCACATTTGAAGTTTAGCTAACTGATGAGTTTCAACAGGCTTGATCAATAGATATAACTATATATGCTTCCTTTAGGCAATATTATCAGGAAATATTCCATAAGCTTTCATTGTTATGCAGATGATACTCAAAGTGAAGAGGATTGGTCCGAGGACAGATCCTTGTGGAACTCCATGACTAACTTTGGCATGCATGGAGGACTCATCGTTAACATGTACAAACTGAAATCGATCTGATAAATAGGACTTAAACCAGCTTAGAGCGGTTCCTTTAATGCCAATGAAATGTTCCAGTCTCTGCAATAGGATCTGATGGTCGATGGTATCAAATGCAGCACTAAGATCTAATAAAACCAGTTGTCTGATGCAATAAGGAGGTCGTTAGTAATTTTCACCAGTGCTGTCTCTGTGCTATGATGAGCTATAAATCCTGACTGAAAATCCTCAAATAAACTATTGCTCTGTAGAAAGTCGGCTAAAACATCCGGATCAAGTTTGGGCTTTTTCAGAAGAGGTTTAATTATAGCTACTTTAAAGTACTGTGGTACATAGCCTGTTGATAAAGATAGATTGATCATATCTAGTATAGAAGTGCTGACTAAGGGTAAAACATCTTGGCTAGTCGGGATGGGGTCTAAGAGGCAGGTTGATGGTTTAGATGAAGAAATTATTGAAGTTAGTTGGTAAAGATTGAGGGAAGCAAAACAGTCTAAACATATATCTGGTTTTACAGCTGTTTCTAAGGTTCCTGAGTTAAGAGATAAGTTGGTGCCAGTTGAGGGCAGGTCTTGGTGAATTTTGTTTCTAATAGTTAGAATTTTATCATTAAAGAAGCTCATGAAGTCGTAACTACTGAGAGCTATGGGAATACTTGGCTCAATAGAGCTGTGACTCTCTGTCAGCCTGGCTACAGTGCTGAAAAGAAACCTGGGATTGTTCCTATTTTCCTCTATTAATGACGAGTAGTACGCTGCTCTGGCATTACGGAGGACCTTCCTATAAGTTTTAAGACTATCTTGCCAAATTAAATGAGAATTTTCCACTTTGGTGGAACGCCAATTCCCCTCAAGTTTCCGCGATATTTGCTTTAATTTGCGAGTTTCAGTGTTATACCATTGAGCTAACCGTCTTTGTTGTAGTATTTTCTTTTTTAGAGGGGCTACAGAGTCGAGTGTCATTCGCAGCGAGCCTGCAGCACTGCCAACAAGATGATCGATTTGGGAGGGACTGAAATTAGCATAGGAGTCCTCTGTTACTTTGTGACTAGATAATGTATTTAGAGCTGATGGAATCGCATCCTTAAATGTAGCTATAGCACTTTCAGACAGACATCTTGTATAGAAATTTTTGCCCAATGGCGTGTAGTTCAGCAATACAAACTCAAAAGTTATCAAACAGTGGTCAGATAAAGAGGGATTTTGTTGGTACACCACTTCAATTTCAATACCATACACCAAAACAAGGTCGAGGGTGTGGTTAAAACAGTGAGTCGATTCATGAACACTGAGAGAAGCCAATGGAATCTAACAGAGAGATAAACGCAATACTGAAGGGGTCATTCTCAACGTCCACATGAATATTAAAATCCCCTACAATAATAACTTTGTCCGTTTTAAGGACTAAAGTTGATAAAAACTCTGCAAATTCAGATCAGAATTCAGAGTACGGACCAGGTGCTCGGTACACTATAACAAAAAGAATTGGTTGCAGTGATTTCCAACTTGGGTGCGAAAGACCAAGAACAAGGCTTTCAAATGAGTTATAGTTTAGTTTAGGTTTAGAGCTGATTAGTAGGCTAGAGTCGAAGATAGCTGCAACTCCACCTCCTCGGCCTGTGCCTTGAGGAATGTGAGTATTAATATGACTGGGAGTTGGGCAAGTGGGTGCTGTGAAAACATAAACACAAGATAACCAAAAGAGCTAACTAACTTTGAAATCAAAATGAAAACAAAAACTCTCTATCTTGGGTGTCTCAAAATCAAAACACAGCGAGCACAGCACGCCTAATCCTAATGTGCTAAACGAAGGGAAATCCTAAGCATGTAGAGTGGGGGTCAGTATTGGCTCTAAATCCTAGCCCAACTCAGCAGACACACGGTTTAAACACAACTAACTCAAGTGTGTCTCTTAACAAAAATAACCACTTTCTGACTCCCAGTAATGAAATAAACTGCTGCAATAGGGGTACAAAGTCTTTAGCTAAACAGCTAACACAAAGACTACTCTTAACAGAAACACTTACTCTCAGTACTAGCAGCAGGCCACAGGAGTGAGCCTGCTTGGTTGGTCGGTCATGTCGGTCGGTCGTGGTCAGCACAGAGGCAAAACAGTAAATGACAGACAGCCCTTTTTCCTTCTTCTTCTTTGAGGTTTTATGGCAGTTGGCATCCAAAATGTTGCATTACCGCCACCTACTGTATTAAATAGTTTTCCCAGTGCAGTATATTTACAGTGACCACCCTAAAGTGCTCCCATTCAATGCATTGTCCGTTCTATGTCTCAGACTCAATGGTCTGAGATGGTATAAATCCTGCTTTCTTTCCAGTCTCTTGGTAGCTTCGGCGTATGTTAGCCCCTCTTCTGCTCTGATTTTACTCACTTTTATTTGTTTGTTTTTTCCCAGACACTGCGCATGGTGATTCCCCGCACAGTGAATGCATTTTTCTTGTTTCTCTTCACATTCCTCCAAATCTCCCACAAAAGTCAAACACACGGAATTACTTTGCTCCCTTTCTCCTTGACGGAATCTTGGCAGTCTTCTCGCCTCACTGACTCCTTCAATGCCCCGAAACTCCTCGTCTTCCACTGACAGCGGTACCCCACTTATTACTCCTTTCTTTTTGTATTCTGCCCCGAGTGGGAAGCATTTCACACTGCTGTAATCTGCATACATCTTAATCCTCAAAGCTTGCTCTCTCCAATGCCTTGACACACAGTCAATGATAACCATCCCACTCCTTGTTATTTTGATGGACCGAACATCTCTGAGTTTATCTCCAACAAATTTTCCAACCTCGTGCAAACCAATCCTCAGCCAGGGATTGCACAGCCTGCTTAGCATACCGGAAACACACACGAACAGTAACAAAATATGGCTGCTACAGCGGGCAAGTGTAATCAGTTCTGGATTCAGACTTTACAACCTAGGATCGTCTGGCTGTGAGGTGACAATGCCAAACAGTGAACTAACATGACAGGCTCATTCTGAAGTGTCATCTTCATGAAAATCAACACAATATATCAAAAGGGGCCCAAGTCCAGAACTACACAATATCTGTTGAGAGTCAGGACTCAACTAAACTTCTTCACACCCAAATTGACCAAATTAATTCTGACTGTTTTTCCACTTTTTAAAGTCTGTGTAATAAATCCTGTTCATTGACTAAGCACAAACAAAATGGTGGATGTGAAAAGCAAAGTGACAAAACAGTACCCTGGAATGAAGACAAGAAGAAAAGACTTTGTTCATGTTTGTTTATTCATCATGTAGTAAACCTTCAGTGTGTTTACACATCCATCAGTAAAGTCTGTTAAATGACTCTTGTTCAATGATTTCAGGTACAGATTCACTTCATCCATCAGTGTGTTTGACCAGAATCTCAGCTATGTCAAAGACAATAAAGAATGACCTCCTTATGATGAAGAAAATTACAGTGAGAAATGTCGGTTCAGGTAAACAACAGTCATCATGAGCAGTGATAGCCTCCATGGCTAAACAGACACAGGAAGGAACTCCACCTAAAGAAACTCAAACATTTACACAACAGCTGAGGAGAAGATGAAGTACCGCCCATAATGTTTGATTGACAGGTGATCTCACAACCAGCTCTCAGCAACAAACATGAACAAAACAAGACAAAACAAGACAAAACAAGTTTAAGGATTAAAACAGAATTTAACCCTCTGTCCCTTAGATGACTTCTGACTATTTCAACGGATAGAACTCAGCAGTGTTTCCACAAGAATAGTAACGGAGCCGAAGTCCAGCATAGAGAGGCTGAGTGAATGTGGTCTGGACTCTGTGGAGGAGAGTCATGGTTTCAGAGACACTATAGAAGGACAGAATACCTGCAGTGTGATCCAGGTACACTCCTACTCTGGAGGACTGCGGACCTGAGACGGAAGTTTTGATGTTTTTGTACAAAAAGTTACAACTTTTTTTGTCAAAATCTAACGCCCAAGATTTGTCATTGAGTCCAAATTCACATTCATTCGACCACCCATCTCTGTTAATAGTCTTGTATGCGACTGCTACATAAACTCCTCCTCCTCTCCACTCCACCTCCCAGTAGCAACGTCCAGTCAGACTCTCTTTACTCAGGACCTGACAGCATTCAGTAAATCTGTCTGGGTGACGAGAATAAGACTGTCGGTTAATCATTATTGTTGCCTTTCTGTTCCCCTCAGACAATAACAGCTTTCTTTGCGCTGTGTTTGGATCCAGTGTGATTTCACGTGAATATTTTAAGAACTCAGCTCTGGTCTTGGGCTCTGGTTGTGGCAGTAAAACATCCACTTCAGTCACAGTCAGTGAGATGTTTGTCCATTTTTCACTCAGAGCATCCTGTAGTTTATCAGCAGTGTGATTGACAGTCTCCACCTCCTGCTGAAGCACCCTTAAAGGTCCAGCATAGCAGTGATCAGCAGGAGCAGCTTGGAGTCCAGTCTTCTTCAGTTCCTCCACTAAAACTGCTAACATGGTGTTTTTCCCCAGGACAGGCCTCGGTGTGAAGGTCTGCCTACACTGAGGACAGCTGTGGATTCTCTTCTCCTCCTCTTCATCCCAGTGGGTTTTAATACAGTTCATGCAGTAGCTGTGTCCACAGGGAGTAGTCACCGGATCCTTCAGGAGATCCAGACAGATGGAACAAGAGAAGGTTTCCCTGTCCAGCTGAACTCCTTTCTGCGTCATTTCAAACTGTAGATCTGACGTGGAGGGAACAAGGAAATGTAAGTTAGAGTGAGCCAGAGTGGTGTTCACTGTGAGAGCATTAACCCTCTGAAAAATTGGAAGAAATTATCAAGAGAGTGATGAGGTGATTTTCCCTCAGTAGGAACTTTAGTCAATTTACAAATAAAAGATATGTACAGGAAAGTAGAGTACATTCCCTAACAATACATTCATAGTATTTAGGCCTACTTTTTCTGTAGCATAAGCTTAGTAAACTCTCACAAAACTCACTTAGGTGAATGAAATATTATACAGGTAACAGTGTAACATATTACAATATGTGTGCATGGAAATTCACCCTTGTCACAAACATACATACATATACTGAAATGCTGTAATTAAGTACACATTCAAGGTAGCCCACTTTAACTATATATCATGGAGGCAAATACAGTATGTTTCCTCCTCTAAATTTGTCTGACAGCTTTAGTTAGGCCTACAAGATACCTTTCAGATAATGTTTTCATCCCCTCACTGTCCATTGATAACCACGTATCTCCAAATTTGGTGGTGGTGGTGGGGGGGTTCTGATCAACTATATCTCGCCATAAATAAGCAATTTAAAAACCCTTGGATTAACTTGAAAACGCATTGTCACAAAGCTGAAACTGTTTTTCATAGCTCATTTTAGAGATAGAGATACGTGGTTCTCACAGGACACTGAAGCTACTTAGAGAATACGATGCACTGCTGTAGAATAAACCACCCAACAGTATGTAGAGTATTTTCACAGTGTGGTATCAGTATAAGTTAAAGTCTGAGTACTTCTGCCACCACTGGTTCTTCTGTTACCAAGTGGGGACTCACTTTAACAGTTTCTACTCTCCACAACACTCTCCACAACACTCAACTTCCTCTAAATGTGACAATAACATTGTTTTTACACTCTTGGCATGTTAGCAAGTTATTACAGCCACAGTAACTCTGTTTAAGATCCACAACTTACCTGAAAAACCTGGAGAAATAACCAGGAGAGTGATGAGGTGATGTTTCCTCAGCCAGAACTTTAGTCTGATGAGGAAAAAAACGTGACTTTATACAATCTGAGGACTCCCCACTGTCTGGGTGGAGACTAGGGATGGGCAGATCAATACCTTACTCCAATGCTCCCGAAACTCATTTGGTATCACTCTCTTTGAAAAAAAAAAGAGAATAAAATTATATAAATATAAAACTTGGGTGACTGCATTACTTCCAAACATTTTCTGTACGTTTGTATAAAGATTGTGCTAATGAACAGCCCTCACAAATTCAGCTGGATGACTGTGGAAACCTTTGTGACAAAAACAGAGCACACATCCTTTTTAAAAAGTCTTTATTTCAAACTGTCCAAAAACATAGTATCAGTTTTACTGAGTTATCCTGTAGTTTAAATATAGTACACGAAACACAGATACACCAATCACTGCTTTAAAGAAGATGAAACTGCTACTAGTGATATGGTCCTCAGGGACGTAAACGAACTGGCTCCTTTTTTTTTAAGAAAAAAAATGTGTGTTTTAATGTTACATGCATTTTAATGAATAAATAAAATAGGTTACTTGCTCAACACTGAATCCCACAAGACATGAAAGTATTGCTCCCGTATTGCCTTTAATGAAGAAATGAAAGACAGTTCCCTCCATGCATGTAAATGTGTGTTCAGCTCCAACGACTGTGGAGGGCAGGGGGGCTGTCGGATGAAACTGGTTCCTGTCTGTAAAGGGGTGGAGAGGTATCCATAAACAATTGTTTTAACCCTTTTTACAATGGCTTCCTGTTTGTTCAGGGATTGATATAAAGATATTATTGATTACTTTTAAGGCTCACAATAAACTGGCTCCAGATTCTATTGTGGATCTTTTAACTCAGTATAAGCCTTTGCATAGTTTGAGATCTTCGGCCAGGGGCCATCTGTTTCCTGAGTACAGGCTGAAAACCAAGGGGGGGCAGAGATTTTGCAGTCAGAGCCCCGATGCTCTGGAAGACCTGGCGGAGGAAATGAGCATGTCAGAGTCAGTGTCTTCTAAGACTCCTCAAAAAATGCACTCTTATCAGAAAGTATATCCTGATTTCTGAGCTGCCTGTTTATTTATTTTTTTATTGTAGGCTATTTCATTGTTTATACCCTCACTTTCTCTTTTTAATCTTTTACCTCTGTATGTTATTGCCTTGTCTGTTCCTTAACACTGAATGCTGTCTGTCTAAACTTGTATCCCGCCTCCCCTCAAGAGGCAGCTCCCCTCTTGCCAGGACGTCCATGTAAATAAGAAGTTGTGTGTCCTGCCTGGTTAAATGAAGGTTTAAACAATTTTTATTTCTTCTTTTATCCTGCTTATTTTAACGTTTAGTTTTAAGAAGATCTAGGTTGGGTAGAACAATAACTAAATGGATTGCGGACATTAGTGCTCCCTCCATTGCACTGATTGTGGACTGGATGTGTGTTTCATCTCACATGGACTTGGACTGTGTTTTGTACGTTATCTCCCTGCTGCTGTTCAAGGCTTCTTTGAAGTTGCTCCTTTTGGACATGCAGTGCTCCTCTTAGCTTCTAACTTTGCTCTGCTGATATTGTCCTGCTATACTTTAGTTATTTTTGTACAAAAAGTGCGTTTTTTGCGTATTTGCTTTCAAAAATGTACAGAGCCTACTTAAAAGCAGAGGTGGGTAATGAGTTACATTTACTCTGATAGATATTTTTGAGTAAATTGTTGGCTACTTGTCAGAGTAGTTTTAATGCATCATACATTTACTCTAACTTGAGTAGTTTTTAAGAGAAAAATCATTACTTTTACTCGCTACGTTTGGAGACATTCATCACGCTACTTATTTATTTACCGCAGTCACGCATCCACATGACACTGTGAGAACTGAATAATGGCTACAGCATGGTCGTTTGGCTTTCAGATGGTACCAGCAGCTAATATTAAGGCTACAGATTAAAATTTAGCGCAACGTACAGCCAGCCCCGTCTCATCCCATCTCAGGCTTTGTCAGGCTTTCTCAAAGCGTCGCTATCTGACGCCCCGGGATGAGACCGTGTTGGTTTCGGTTGTGAAGTCAACAGGCTTCGCCGAGCTGACAGAGCGCAGTGTCTGTTGAGTTAATGCTAATATGTTTAATTATAAATAGCTACACACAGTATATATCATGCTTTAAAACTCCTCCTGCTTTCTGCCTTAGTGGAAATATTCAAGCTAATGATGTAGAGCAGTCTGCATTTAACTAGTCATGCTCTTTGGTGTAGCCTGATGAAGACAGGCCAGATTATGCACACACAAACAAGACAAACTACTCTTATTTCATGTGGATGAGACTGTTTCAACAGAAGAGCTTCCTCAGGTAAAAGTGAAGATGTGAACACTCGTGCATTAATAGGCAATAAGTTATTAAACATCACAGCATTATCCCCTAATTTGATTTGTTTGCCAAATCATAATTTAATATCAGAAAACAAGAAAACCATTTTTATTTTGATTCGTAATCACACTTGATGAATAAATATCCTGGTGTATTTCTAATCAGGAGATGATGATGACTTGTGATTTCATTACAGATGGTATGTTTCTGAGGAAGACCGACCATCCATCCATCGTCAACCACTCACCCTGCCTACAGGGGGGGCTGGAGCCAATCCTAGCTGAAATTGGGCAAAAGGCGGGGTACACCCTGGACAGGTCGCCAGTCTATCGCAGGGCACACAGACAATAGGGCCTTTCTCATTTCCCAAATTTCTGTCTCCTCAACTCCTCGATCCTCAAGCGTGTGACCCGGAAGTCAATCTCAGCACGCCATCTTGAAGGACATCTCAATTCTTAAAATGCACATCGAGGGGCGAGGAGACAGAAATGAGAAAGGCCCAAACAGAGCCACATGGGGAGAACATGCAAACACCACCCAGAAAGGCCGGGGCAACCAGGGTTTGAACCCGCGACCTTCTTGCTGGGAGGCAGCAGTGATATCCACCATTTGAAGTAATTCGAGTCACCTGACAACATTCAGTGCATCTGTATCATTTTGAGTAAAATGTTGTATTTATGCAAACGGAAAACTGACAGGCCAGAACAGCTATTTCTAAATCTAAAAGAATATTACAAAAAGTTACATTTTGAGATGGTGATGGCGCAATGGATAAGACTATGCCTTTGGTGTGAGAGACCTGGGTTCAATTCCCCACTGTGACCCATCCACCATTGTGTCCCTGAGCAAGACACTTGTTGACACCTCTAGTTTCTAGAGAGGCGTGTATAACAATTGTAAGTTGCTTTGGATAAAAGCGTCAGCTAAATGAATAAATGTGAGAAAGTTCACCAAAATGAACTAAAACACACTGACTCTACACCTGCACATTTTCAGTGAGCCAGTGGCAGTTGAAGGGGTTCATCCCAGCATAACATGCATAGAGACCGCTCCCCTCCTATGGTGAATCTGAAGAAAAATAATGTCTGACGGTCATATTCACAACAAAAGACCCAGAATAAAATTGAACCAGAGATTACTGTACCAATATTTGGATTTTATTTACAATGCATGAAATAAAAGACTATTCAACTTGCATCAAGGGAGTTTCTAAATGCAGGCCATAATAAGGGATTGTACAGTTAATAATCAAACATTAAATCAATAAAATAAACAATACCCCATATTGTTTATTTTATAAAGACTGCACTACCAGGGAGGCAAGTGTAGAGTTATGCATAAAAAGATGAAATTGTCACAAAATATGAAGCACATTATGAATAAAGCACCACTACAAACAAACCCATTCAAACCAAATCAAAACTGTTCTACTCACATTTACCTACTCACAGCAAGCTAAGGTGGCTCAAACCACACTATAAGATGGCTCTCAAAGTCCAGTGTTTAACATTTAGCAGCATCTATTTACAGAATATGGCAGAAATTAAATATAACATTCATGAGTATGTTTTCATTAGTTTACTATCACAGGTGATCTCTGTGCAGTGACGAAATGCCACAACAATCAGCTCTCAGCAACAAACATGAAGAGAAAATAAGTTTAAGGATTAAAACAGATTTTAACCCTCTGTCCCTTAGATGACTTCTGACTATTTCAGTTTACAGAACTCAGCAGTGTTTCCACAAGTATAAGGAAATGAAAGTCCAGCATAGAGAGGCTGAGTGAATGTGGTCTGGACTCTGTGGAGGAGAGTCATGGTTTCAGAGACGCTGTAGAAGGACAGAATACCTGCACTGTGATCCAGGTACACTCCTACTCTGGAGGACCGAGGACCTGAGACGGGAGTTTGGACATTGTTGTACCAAAATTTATCACCGTTTTTGTCATATCTTAATGCCCAAGATTTGTCATTGTTTCCAAATCTACATTCAATTGACCTCCCATCTCTGCTGATATTCTTGTATGCGACTGCTACATAAACTCCTTCTTCCCTCCACTTCACCTCCCAGTAACAACGTCCAGTCAGACTCTCTCTACTCAGGACCTGACACCAATGAGCGAATCTCCCTCGGTCACTAGAATAAGACTGTTCTTGTGTGATTATTGTTGCTTTTCTGTTCCCTTTAGATAATAACAGATACGTGTGTGCTGTGTTTGGGTCCAGTGTTATTTCATGTGAATATTTTAAGAACTCAGCTCTGGTCTTGGGCTCTGGTTGTGGCAGTAAAACATCCACTTTTCTCCCTGTCAGTGAGATGTTTGTCCATTTCTCACTCAGCGCGTCCTGTAGTTTATCTCTGACTTCTGACACAGCCGCTGTCACATCCTCAAAGTAGCGCAGAGGACGTTTCTTGATGCTGGATGAGTCTGTAGATTCACTGAGTGCTGACACTGAGGGGTAGTTGTGTAGAAACTGGTTGTGATCCTCTGTGTGTGAGAGCTGCTTCAGCTCAGCGTCTTTCCTCTTCAGCTCAGTGATCTCCTGCTCCAGCTTCTCCTGAAGCTCTTTGACTCGACTCACTTCAGTTTCCTGCTGGGATCTGACCTGCTGCTTCACATCAGAGCGTCTTTTCTCCATGAGACGGATCAGCTCGGTGAAGATCTTCTCACTGTCCTCCACTGCTTCATCAGCAGAGTGATTGATAGCCTCCACCTCCTGCTGAAGCACCGTCACATCTTTCTCTCTGTCCTGGATTCTCTGCTGGATGTTTTGTCGACTCCTCCTCTTCATCCCAGTGGGTTTTAATACAGTTCATGCAGTAGCTGTGTCCACAGGGAATAGTCACCGGATCCTTCAGTACATCCAGACAGATGGAACAAGAAATTGTGTCCTCGTCCAGCTGAACTCCTTTCTGCGCCATTTCACCTCTCAGTGGCAACGACTGTCTTAAGTTTCACTTTCTTAGAAGTGAAACTAGTTTGAGCTCTGATTCAAACAGCATGTGTTTCTGCAGTGAATGAGGTCTGTCAGCTCCTGCACTTCACCACAGGTTGGTTACACCCCTCTTAAAACTGACGGTCTGGAGGGGAGGGAACAAGGAAATATAAGTTATGGACAGAGAGGAGCTCGCTGTGTCAGAGAGCAGGAAGAAGAGGGAGGGGTTATCAAGCTGTGACTCATTTCAGAAAGAGTTTGAGAGAGATACTGTGTGTTTAACATTTGTTTAAAATGTATAAAATAGACCTAATTTCTCATTTAAAAACACTGTCTATTTCAGAATTAACTTTTTTTTCCACCTCTCAAAATTGATTTAAGTCTTTAATCCTTACCAAAAACTCAAATACAGTAGGCCTACATGAAAATAGAGAAATTAATGACTGTAGAAGACTGTTGAATTGTTATAAGAAGTCATAAGTATTTTGAAGAAAACAGGTTAAATTAAGAGCATAATTTTAACTAAAATTTGTGTTTTAACATTAGATGCATATAAATAAAAAAATCAGTTACTTGTTGCAACTCTTTTAAGCTTTACTGATTTCTATCAGTAAAATGATTCACACCAAATACTTAACATTAAAACAACCTTCTCACACAACCCAAACATACTGTAGGGAACCTGAACTTTAGGAACTGGAAGCACAAGATACAACTAGAGCAAACTATTACATAAAATCAGAAGAAGAACGACATGCAATACTTTATCCACTTTATCTTAAAGATTAACTCACACCACTAACCATGATGAACTGAATTAGACCTTGTATTTTTATTATATATGTTATCAGCTTAAAAACATGTTTCAGCAGGATGACAGCACCCTCTTGTATTTTCAGTTTTAACATTTCAGTTGTTAACCTGCAGGAAGACAAGTGAAAACTTCACTGAGCCTTTGGCAGCTTCAGACAACATCAAGAGAGATTCACACACCCCACACTGCCCAGTCAGACCAGAAAGATAAGCTGCTTTAAAGTCCAACGACAAATATGGTAGAAAAGAAAATCTTATTCAAATGTGAATTCAGTTTGACTTTTTTGAATTGCAATCGACCGACATGGAAATACTTCTCACAACATGTAAAGAATGGTCTCTCCACTTCAAAATCTGTCTTCTTAAACAACCCTGACGCGATTCAAAAGGCTGCACATATTTCACATCAGTGACATTAAAATATTTGGCTGTTGTAAAAGCTGTGCAACTCACTGGATGATGGAATATTCAGAAAACAACTCTGGAACTGTTGCTTTTGGACATCAAGTCCATCTGATATTTATTCAGTGAAAGCAGCATTACATATAGCTATTAGTATTAAGATACACTTCTTGTTACAGCAGGGGTGGCCAAACATTTGATTGTGGGCCATATACAGAAATATAAGAAATTTTCAGCATTCACTCACTATCTTCCATCTTTTCTTTTCTGAAGTAAATGTTTTCAAGAAGTAATCCATCATTGTAGGTGAAGGAGTTGTTCAAAACGGCAGCACCTCTAGTGTTCAAACTATCAAGTGCAATGACAGGGCTTGCTAGTCGTAGCTCAAGACTTGCTGTGTGTGCAGTTTAACAGGAAAAGCTAAAACAATGTTCTAGTTTTGTTTTTGTTTTTTTAAGTACTCTGGACCATTTGAAATCAGGCAGTGTGCTGCAGTTGGCATGCGGGTCATAGTTTGGCCACAACTTATATTACACAAATACTGTATTTGTGTAATATAAATAGTGCAGTAGTTTTACCCGTAATGGTAAGTGACCCAAATCATCGCTGTTGGAGACAAATGTCACCAACTGAGATTGTAAGTTTGTAGTTTTATTGATACAGGAGGTTATGTCCCAAAACAAAATAAGTCACAAGATGCTTTAATCATGTTTGTATCTTCCTTCTACATTATTATACTATATACTATATTTCCATATCTACAATGTGCGTGCAGTCTTGTTGTATAATTTGCCTCCTCAGGCAGAGCTGCACTTCTCCACAGTTTAACTTACACATGATGCACATCCTTGGTTAAGAAAGTAAATAAAATTATTTTACAATATTTTTGACCAGACATGTGAATGTTGGACCAATCAGGAAACACGAGACACTAGAAAGCTGGGGAACTCACTGATAGGGCACAATGAACTGGCAAGTAGACATAGTGAGGCTGAGACTTAAATAGCCCAGGGGGGTGGAGATAACGAGGCAGGTGGAACACATAAGGGCAGGTGCAAAAAGTCAACCTAAAAACACAAGGACAGGAAGTAAAACAAGACAAAGACACTAGAGGCAGACAAAACAACAAAGTAAAACAGGAAACACTGAAACACAAACACCAAAACCTCAGAACCATGGCCGAGTTCAATCTCAAAACGTTCTGTACCGGTTTGCGTTTTCGGGTTGAACGAGTTTCCTTGCAACATTGTGCAACGTTCTGAAACGGGCTTTGAGGTATGTTTTCTCCCGTTTGGTGGGCGTGTTACAGGTGTTACCCAATCAGCTGCAATAAGTTTGTAAACACAACGGTGTTAAAAAGTCAGGAAAATGCAGTGCGCTTGCGTACACAGCAGGGTGTTCAGGCCGACGTTTTGAAACTGAACTCGCCCCTGGTCTTAGTTTTGAACGCAGCAGCGTTATCTGAGAAAACAAATTTGAATGACTGTGAGCTTATGTGAGTTTATATGCCATAGACTGCACAAATCACAAAAGTAATGGGTGGAAAATGTTTAATATCCCAAGAAGGAATCCTCTCTTTCAGTACAGAGGGAAGAATTAGCTGTTAGCATCTAGTGATCTTGTCAGGGCCCCTTGAGTTTTAGAAGGTGGTGGATAGTTTTGCACAGAACTTGGTGAGGAAGAAACACTTTCTTTAAGGTAAGACAGCTCATACAGTGTGTTTGTGGTTTGTCAGGCTCTGTGGTCAATGCTTTGGTGATCAGTTTAAAGTGCATTCAGAGTTTCAGTGTGGGACTTGGTGACAGCTGACAGCATATTTCAGAGGAAAGAAAATCACAAATACGTATGCAGAGTCCCTTCATGATCATGTGTGGCAGATTAATTGTACTCGAATTAGAAGTAGAAGACTGCAGTGTATAAAAGCTAAGTAGGATTTAATAAGTAGGCTAATGTAAGACACCTGGACATATACAGTGTCTGGTATCTGATGTAGTTTGATGCTAAAATCAAGAATAAGGATATAATAATAATAATAAGGAATAATATCTGAAATTATATGAATTATTTCTGAATTTTTATACTACATACATATTATATATATTATTATATTATCTATAAGTATTAATATCCAGAATAAGGCGCTTTCTGTGCTCTTAACTTATGCAGCAGGCAAACAGCAGGGATTATATTTATCTATGATGTTATGCTAACATTACTTAAATTATGTGAGGGGAAGCTTCTGTGCTTTTAACCCACACTGCTGCTAATGCTGGGTTTGCATTGTCACTGCAACCAGCTAGCTACAGCTAACAACAAGTGGGACACAATTATGAAGTGGAACGAAATTTATTGGATATTTCAAACCTTTTTAACAAATAAAAAACTGAAAAATTGGGCGTGCAAAATTATTCAGCCCCTTTACTTTCAGTGCAGCAAACTCTCTCCAGAAGTTCAGTGAGGATCTCTGAATGATCCAATGTTGACCTAAATGACAGCAATAAATTTCGTTCCACTTCATGATTGTGTCCCACTTGTTGTTGGTTCTTCACAAAAAATTACAGTTTTATATCTTTATGTTTGAAGCCTAAAATGTGGCAAAAGGTCAAAGTTCAAGGGGGCCGAATACTTTCGCAAGGCACTGTAATTTTGTGTCTTGTGTTAGCTAGCCAGAGCCAGCAGATGTCTATCAGTGTTTGCTGTGTGGACATGTGAGGACAGTGATTTTAGTGGTTTCCAGCCAGTTGCTTTATTGCTAAAATGGAGAAAATGTCCATAAACTATCATGACATTGTGGCAGATAGTTTCTGCCCCCCGGTTGTGTGCAAAAGTATTTGTGTAATTGGGAAAAACATCTTTCAAACCTCAAACAGATCGCTCAGAGATCACTGCATGTCTGAGAAAATAAGCCTAGAACCACAACGCCTGTGATCTAGACTTCATGTATTAACTAGCTAGTTAGCATGTAGTCAGAATGCTTCACTGAAACCGTTGTATGCTAGCCTGGTATGCTTCAAATTATTTTTATCAACTGCTTGCAATAAAGAGTGCCAACAACACTTAAAGTCACTTTTTAGCATGAAGCTAATCGGTTTTAGCAGATTAGCGGCAAACAAACACTTCACTTCTATAAAACAAGAAAGATTGTGTCCGAAATTACTCCGTTTTTACTATATATTCCATTATATTTACCCTACGCAATTTTATTTAAGTTCTGAATTCTGAGTGCGAAATGTATGCACTAGCCTATAGAGTGCCAAAAAAATTCACACCATTAAATAAAAAAAGCAATGTCCACTACTTTCTGCTAGTAATCCCAAAATGCAATGCGTCAGATTTTACAGATGCTAAATGTTACAGTCAGGTGAAACTACACCTGTAAGTGTTGACGCAGAAATACGATGAATAAGTGGGAAACATCTCAGTTTACTGCTCACTATGAGTGAACTACGGACTGTCTATTATGTGAACGATTGAATGAGGGAGCGATTTCGGACACAGCCACAGAAAGCTGTTAAGGTCAAAGGTGAGGGCTGGTGAGGCCTCAGCAGACGGACTCAGCCATCCTGTCTGGCCGAGCCGATTGACAGGTGCTGGGCGGGGTGAAGACGTCGGGGTCACTGATGCCAAGCTGGAGGCTGAAGAAGCGGGTGGAGGTGGTGACGCTGCTGTTCCTGGCGTAGGTCTCCTGTACCGGGTAGCAGTCCTTCAGGGTGTAAACGCCCACCCAGGTCTCATCTGGTGGAGAGATTATGACAGCTCAGAGAGGAAGAGGAGGTTTTATTCCACAGCTAGCTGCTCTTTAAATCTGATCAAATATGATCAAACCTGCCTGGCATGAATTTTTATTGTGAAGCTGCTGCAGGAAGTGTTGAATGTAGACTAACACTGGCTTAAAGCTGCACTAAATTTATTTCAACAATGGGACAAGGACTACAGTGAGGAAAATAAGTATTTGAACACCCTGCTATTTTGCTAAGTTCTCCCACTTAGAAATCATGGAGGGGTCTGAAATTGTCATCGTAGGTGCATGTCCACTGTGAGAGACATAGTCAAAAAAAAAAAAAACAATTCCAGAAATCACAATGTATGATTTTTTTTAACCATTTATTTGTATGATACAGCTGCAAATAAGTATTTGAACACCTGAGAAAATCAATGTTAATATTTGGTACTGTAGCCTTTGTTTGCAATTACAGAGGTCAAATGTTTCCTGTAGTTTTTCACCAGGTTTGCACACACTGCAGGAGGGATTTTGGCCCACTCCTCCACACAGATCTTCTCTAGAGCAGTCAGGTTTCTGGGCTGTCGCTGAGAAACACGGAGTTCGAGCTCCCTCCAAAGATTCTCTATTGGGTTTAGGTCTGGAGACTGGCTAGGCCACGCCAGAACCTTGATATGCTTCTTACAGAGCCACTCCTTGGTTATCCTGGCTGTGTGCTTCGGGTCATTGTCATGTTGGAAGACCCGGCCTCGACCCATCTTCAATGCTCTAACTGAGGGAAGGAGGTTGTTCCCCAAAATCTGGCAATACATGGCCCCGGTCATCCTCTCCTTAATACAGTGCAGTCGCCCTGTCCCATGTGCAGAAAAACACCCCCAAAGCATGATGCTACCACCCCCATGCTTCACAGTAGGGATGGTGTTCTTGGGATGGTACTCATCATTCTTCTTCCTCCAAACACGGTTAGTGGAATTATGACCAAAAAGTTCTATTTTGGTCTCATCTGACCACATGACTTTCTCCCATGACTCCTCTGGATCATCCAAATGGTCATTGGCAAACTGAAGACGGGCCTTGACATGTGCTGGTTTAAGCAGGGGAACCTTTCAAACCATGACGTCTTGGTGTATTACCAACAGTAACCTTGGAAACGGTGGTCCTGGCTCTTTTCAGGTCATTGACCGGCTCCTCCCGTGTAGTTCTGGGCTGATTTCTCACCTTTCTTAGGATCATTGAGACCCCACGAGGTGAGATCTTGCATGGAGCCCCGGTCCGAGGGAGATTGACAGTCATGTTTAGCTTCTTCCATTTTCTAATGATTGCTCCAACAGTGGACCTTTTTTCACCAAGCTGCTTGGCAATTTCCCCGTAGCCCTTTCCAGCCTTGTGGAGGTGTACAATTTTGTCTCTAGTGTCTTTGGACAGCTCTTTGGTCTTGGCCATGTTAGTAGTTGGATTCTTACTGATTGTATGGGGTGGACAGGTGTCTTTATGCAGCTAACGACCTCAAACAGGTGCATCTAATTTAGGATAATAAATGGAGTGGAGGTGGACATTTTGAAGGCAGACTAACAGGTCTTTGAGAGTCAGAATTCTAGCTGATAGACAGGTGTTCAAATACTTATTTGCAGCTGTATCATACAAATAAATAGTTATAAAATCATACATTGTGATTTCTGGATTTTATTTTTTTGATTATGTCTCTCACAGTGGACATGCACCTACGATGACAATTTCAGACCCCTCCATGATTTCTAAGTGGGAGAACTTGCAAAATAGCAGGGTGTTCAAATACTTATTTTCCTCACTGTATATATAATGTGAAAGGCATCGCTCGTAGTGTAAAACAGACAGTTATTACCATACCACTACCATGTTTTTTGAGCGTTAGTGGAGACCAAACCAGAACTAACAGGACTTGAAAATGGACTTTCATCATTCATGTATGCTTTTTTGTGTAAAATCTATATTTATTTAAAAATAAAATACAATCTAAATTTATTATATAATAAATCTTCCAGCAGCATCTCTTGCTTTATGTAATTTGGAATAAAAAATGCTCCACAACGCACAAGGCCACAGGCGGTACATCAAAAAACAGACTTACGTTGGCGTGCCGGCTTCCTGTCTGACCACTCCTGAACCTCCACGTTGTCCCCGGGGCCGCCGATGAAGTACTGGTCCTCGAAGGTAGAGTTGTCTGGGATGTCAAAGGGATCCCAGGCCTCCGTCAGAGCGATCTTTGAGCAGTCCTTGGTCTTCTGGTCAATCTGGAACAGCACCATGCTCTGGTACAAGTAGATGTACTCAAAAAACCTGGAGCAGATACAGGGAGGAGAAGAATTTTAAGCTGCATTTATTGATTATTTTGTGACTTGGGGGCAGCAGAATAAAAACACAATGTCTGACATTATCACTGTAAAGTTATTTTGGTGAATCTATTAGCACCTGACAAATGTCCATCTAATATTCACTCTGCTTTTAGCTAAATGTTCTTCACCAGCTACTGTTTGGTAGCAGCTTATTTGCTGAAAACAGCTGCTGCTGGAAACACGGTGAGACTTAACAAGACAGTACATGAACTGTAAAACCAAACATGTAAGCTGAAAGTGTCTGAAGGGCTGCGTAGAGCTGGAAATTATTCTCTGCTCTCTCTATGTGTTATACTTAAATGCATTTGTGTGGTGTTATTGATAGTATTGTTGTTGTTATATATGCAGTTGTACTTTTTTTATAATGAAGCTTCACAGTTTATAAGCAATTACTACAAACAACGTCCATGCCAGTAGCATCTTTGCTACTCACTTTCTGGAACAGGGCTGCAGAGGATTCAGAACATCTATTTATTAATAACTTATTAAGCATTTATTAATGCTAATACCAATATTTCTATCAACAGGTAAGGATAAACGTTTTTTGTCAATCTGGCAAACCAAAGGTTGTTCTTATTATTGGTTAATAACAGATATATAAATCTTTAGTAAAGTAGGCTGTATATAACATTAATAAAGCACTCATCAACTATAAAAATGTGCCTTATTAGAGAGTGGTAACCGTTAGGAATTTCTTCTTCTTAATATGCTTATTATTTATTGGAAATACGTTTGCATTTTTATGTGCCTATATCTTTAATTTCAAATTATTTGTTTGTGTTTTATCTCTGTATTTTGGAACGTTTTTATGCAATTTAACATACTTCGTTTCATGTAATTACTGGCAGGGTTTGATGGGGTGGGAGACATTATTTTCTAATATTTCAACATAGATGTTTTCAATAATGTGGATACACTGAAGGAAAACAACAGGCTGATAAAAGCCCATATTATTACTATTACACCATGTTACATCTTAACCTATGATCCTACCTCTGACACGGGGTGTGTTTCTTGTTCTGCTGCAGGACTCGGATCCTCTGGTTCAGGCCGTCGTAGGAGACGGCGGCTCGGCTGTTCCTCCCGGTGCTGTGGTCGTACAGCACCCACCTGCCCTCCCACTGCAGCGGGGCGGTGCAGGGCCCGGCCGCCGGGGAGACATCCAGCCCGGGGAGGCCGAGAACAGACGCCCCGAGCGCGGCCAGAAACACGAACAATAGTCGGTGCATTGCGCCTGGAAGAACCGGAGTCCCGTTAACTGATCCACTTGTTTTGGTGTTGATAGCGGGCTGCACCTGCTGACAAGCTCGCTGGAGCCACACGTACAATGCTTTCCGGTTGTGATTACCAAAATAAAAGCGTGTATGATCCTTTCGAAAATGTTAATGAATCAATCCTTTGCCCCCCAGAACTTTAATTGGGCTAAGTCTAGTATAAAAACAAGTACTACAGAAAACCTAAATATTCAAAATGGCAGAGGCCAAATAATAAAACAAAACACACATTAAAAAATACAGAGGAAAGGGGAAGAGAAACCGTTTAATACTGAAAATATTATATAGGCTATGTTTGCAGGTTTTCTGCTTTTTAATATTCTGAAGTAAAAGTTATGTTGTAAATGTAAGACATGATCGAACTTATTAAAGATGATTGTGCAAGTTTGCCAATAATAATTATAGGGATTCACAATAATTCTTTGGTATTAATGTGCTGATTATGTTCTCCATTAATCGATTGATTGTTTGGTTTATAAAAAATCTGAAAATAGTGAGAAATGCCATCACAATTACCCAGAGCCCAAAGTGACACCTTCACAAAGCTTGTTTTCAAACAGTCCAAACCTCGAAATTATTTAGCCTAAAAACTAATTGGGTAAATAAATTGGGTAATAAATGTTGACCAAAATAGTTATATAGTATAGTTGTGTGAGGGATGCCGATAATGTCTTATTTATATTTGTTGGTTCGACTTTACCATAGAGAAAATAAAAAATACTGGAAGACATCTAGATAACTGTCAAAACAACTAGAATAAAACAGTAAAAGACTTTTTCGTCGTATTTTTTTTTTTTTTTTACGTATTAATAAAAAAGTTTCGAGATAATTGCCCAATGTATAAATAATTACATTTCAAACATTTCTTTGGATGTGGTTCTCCTCTCTGCAGCTAGAAAACAAACCTTTTTTCTCAGTTGTTTTTTTTTTTCATCAGAAAGCGCACGTTCCCACCGGCCCATTCTTTTAGCGTCACTGTGTGGCGCGGCACGATGACGTCTACTCACAAGCCAACATGGCGAAGAAACAACGTGGGAAAGCAGCTTCGTCTACAAAGACGTCAGATATTGAAAAACAGACAGAACACTTCAGTTTAGTGCTTGCGTCCAGTGATGATGAGGCGCCCGAAGAGGTGACATTTGAAGACTCAAAGGCCGAGGCTATACGGAGCATGAAACAGGCGCTGGACGCAGACAGGAGGTAGCTAACTGGGGCTTGTGGACGGAGAGACCGTTAAACCAAACTCCATTCAAAACAATCCGCCTTAATGTGTTTTCTTGCTGATGGGCAGAATAAATACGCCATAATGAGTAATTTACCACATAATCTCATTTCTCCGGGGACGATTTTCACATCAGCGCTTCCAGCACTGAGCAACTCCTTATGTAATAACTACTTAACCCCTAGTTGCTCCAGAGGTGTGCGACCTCTGACGTGTATAGCAATTGTAAGCCGCTTTGGATAAAAGCGTCAGCTAAATGAATAAATGTAAATAAAATATGTTTAATTGTTGCACAACTGAACTCCTAACGTTAACACATTGCTTAGCATTAGGTTAGTTGAAACGGCAGAAAAGCCGAAAGACTCGGAGATTTTAAATGAGGCTCTGTTTTTGGACTGTATGACTGGCGATATGAGGAGCGTCTCCCTACAGTTCCTAAGGTTAAAATTGGAGTTGTATTATCGCGTGAGCAAGATACGTCATATTTGACAATTGTTAAATGAAGTTTGCGGTGCAGATCTGTCCAGACAAGAATCGGAATAACTGCAGTCTTGGATCACATTTGAGTGTTTGCGTCTTATCGATGTTTGCAGAGAAAAAGAGCTGCTGAAAGAGAAGAGAAGGAAGAGACAGGAGCTGTTCCAGGAACAGAAGGTCAGTGTGTTTTGTTAAATGTCTTGTTACAGCATTTTATAGACAATAGAGGTGGGAATCACCAGAGGCCCCACGATATGTGACATCAATGCGATTTTAAACATAGTGGGATATGTCGCAATTTATTACTTTTTTTCCAACTTCAATTTTGTCCCCAAAGGAAAACTCTTTTTCTTGTGGACTGAAAAAGCAATTGACTTTATTATTATAGTACCAAAAAGTAAAATTCTCATGTAGAATTTATATAATAAAAGATCGATACTTGACCTCCATGTATTGATACAATATTGCCATGGAAAATATTGCGACCCCCCCCCGTAATTACATAACAGCATATAGGTAAAAATTTCAATACTACAACCCTAACTGTCAAGTAATGCTGCTTTTGTTTTAAACTAGAATTTATGAAGTGTGACTTTTAATTATGAATTGTTACTAAAATTTATTTTTACATCATCATTTCTGAAGATCCTTCCCGCCCTGAGATTATTTTGAGTGTATGTAGTTTCATGTCAGGTGATACGTCCATCCTGTCACTGGATGCAGCAGACAAACAGATTATCCATGTGATTTTTTTATTGTTAAGTAAAGCTTCCTTCACTCTGCGGTTTCCCACAGAAGAGAAAGCTCTTACCGGCTGGCGTGTTGGAGGAAATCGACTCGGCACCCTCAAAGTAAGTTTACTGGTCCGACTCCTTCTCTTTATTTTCAAACATTTCCTCCTCCTCAGATTAGTTAACTAACAAATCTGCTTTATTTTCCAGGAAGCAAAAACAGTCTGAAGATGAAGGTAAAGAAGCTTCCCACCCTTTTGTCAGATTTTAACCATTTAGCTGTCGATCTTGTTAGGAAGGATGGACGCTGCTGAGAAAGCTTCAGTATGACTTGTTTTCTGCCAACCTGTCCTCACCCAGCTGAAGAGGAGCAGCAGGATGTAGCAGAGGATGAGACGAGGAAGAAGAAAAAGAAGAGTGGCGGCAAACTGGCACATGCCCGAAAGTATGTAAATACGTTTTCATTGTTTTTGTCAGCGGTTTAATTTAAAGAGGACATTTTTGGCTTTTCCCCTCTCCTTTTATTGAGTTATCTTTTTTGTGGATGTAACAGTTTGCAAAGTGTAAAAGCCCAAAGTCCAGCAAAAAAGGGAGTTCCCATCTCCCACAGAAAACTCTGCTCTGAACTGCCTGAAAACAGCTCGTTTGTAGTCCAGCCTTTACTTCCCTTTCTTGTGACATCACAGCAAAATGCGTGTCATAACGCTTGCCAAGCAGCTAGTCCGACACGCCCTCAAAAAAAACGGTGGAAAAAACACACAGCTGCAGCACACACCTCTCCTCTCCCTTCCAAACACTAGCTACCCGCCAGGCAGTCAGTGGACATAAAGTTGTTCCTGTGATGTAGAGACAGAGCTCAGTTAAAACTTTATGGATGAAAGATGGTGGTGATGGCGCAGTGGACAAGACACATGCCTCAATTCCCCACTGTGACCCATCTACCATTGTCTACATAGTCCTTAACTACAAACTGTGCATGTGCAGCTCCCAACTAAGATCTTGTGGGGGTGAGACGCATCACGCGGATTGGGGCTCTTTTTCCAGGTTTGGACAGGGGCCTCTTAGTTCCAGAGATGGGAAAACTTTCCGTTACTGGAGATGCCTCTAAGGATCAGGAAATTACATTTCCTTTACATTAGTTATTCTTTTATCTGAAGCTTTTTATCGCACGCCTCTGGAGCAAGTAGGGGTTAAGTATCTTGTTCACAGACACAGAGTTGAACCCGGGTCTCTCACCAAAGGCATGTGTCTTATACACTGCCCCATCAGCAACCCTACAGGTTATATTGTTATAGATTGGTATCGACCAAAATAAAGCCAATCAAATGCCAATACTGTGTGTTTTCCACCTCAGCCTGCTGGTGTTGCAGCGTTGCTCTCCTTGAACACGGCCTACATTTTGCTTCCTATGCAAGTGACAATGTGTGTGAATATGAAAAATGAAGTTGCAAGGTGCAAGTGACTCTGAGTTCCGACACTCTGGCAAAATAAATGAGTTTGCTAAACTCCAATGCTAATAAATCTGTTGTTCCTCTCTCTGTCTCATTAGCAAAGATCAGTGTGCGAAACATTGCAACACAGCGAGTAGCTTCTCATTTTTAGCCTGTTGAAATGAGAAGCGTCACTAGCGGCAGGTCATGTCAGCTGTGAACAAATTTAACTTGACTTGTTTGATGACTGAGCTCAGCCAAAGGTCATTTGTGTGGTAAGAAGCGCCAGTCTGTGTAACACCACATTCAGGAGTGTTTTTGTAGTTCCTTCAACTCTGACTGAGAGAGACTCCTCCAGCTGACCACTTCATGTCAGCTTTCAGGAGAAACATTCTCCCAGTTAATCTTTAGATCATTTCACATCGCTAATATAAAATGATCACTTTAAAAGTTTTGAACTAAGAGCCTCAAGATTTTGGATTGGTTTGTTCCTGTTTGTCAGTCTGAAGGGAAACTACACAGTGACGACGGTGAAGGAGCCAGCAGCAGTAGCGTCCTTCCAGCAGCAGACGGCCGAGGATTTTATCCAGTCCAGATTGTACGGACCAGGAAGCTGCAGGACCACTAGTAAGAAGGAGTGTTTTAGTACAGCCTGATATATTCTCTTTCTCTGAGCCGTAGAGCTCCACTGTTGTCCAAAAACTATTTAAACCCATCAGTGAGCTTCACTGCTGCACTGGGTGACATGCTCCTTCATCACCATGAACACACACTGTAGTTTATTCTGAATCAGTCCCACATACACCTTCCTGCTGCCCCAAATACTCACTAGAGCACCACATGTGGATTCATCCGCCAACAACAATTTACTTCTGTTTGTGTAATGTTTGCTAAAAACACAGTGAACAGCTGTTTTAGGAAATTACTGAGCTTTTATAAATAAAAAAGAAACCAGGTATGTTGTTAGGATGTAAAAAAAAATAATTGCAAGCTACACTCTGTGGCAGAAGTCTGTAAAGACTATGATCTGTCTCAATTTGAGCTTTGCTACAGTGACATCCGTCTCGTCCCACTGTGGCGTCCGCTCTCACGGGACACCAGCTGTGGAGATGACGGAGACATTTACACATTTCAGTCTGCTTTTCAGCCCGTCATCTGGCAGAACGTATTTACACTTTGTCCTTCTGCTTTCAGGTAACGAGCTGCTCTCCCTTCAGAATAAGAAGGGGAGAAATAAAAGTGCCGCAGTGCAGTTTGTCAAGAAAGACTGGGGTAAGTGCAGTAAAACAAACTATTTATCATGAGTACTACAAATGTGAGCTGTGTCTTTAATTCCACAACTGTTGATTTTGCTAATTTGTATCCCAGAATGCAATTTCCCCCTTTCCACTACTTTGGTTTGTAAAAAAAAAAAAAAAAAAACCTGCAAAACTAATGGCATACCCATCAGCCTCAGCTGTACTTTAATGCATATTAGCAAATGTTGACATGCTAACACACTAAACTAAGAGTGAACATAGTGTAATTACCTTTATATCTTTTAGATATCAACATGTTTGCATCAAAGCACTGCTACAGACTTGAACATTTTTTATAACCTAATTTAAAGGATTCATTCAAAAATGTTTGTTAAGCGTTCATGTTAATTTATAATCAGTTGGTCTTTGATCACTTGTCTCTCGTTTGATCCTCCAGCTTCTAAGGAAAAAGCCAAAGCAGAGAAGCTGAAGAAGAGGTGGCTCCACAAGCAGCAGATTCCTTCCTGCTGACCGGTCAGACCGACTGAGCATCTCCAGAAACCTCGACTACGGCCAGCAAACCGTCGCTGCTCCTTCTGCACGCCGACTTTAAAAAGACACCAGTCATGGCCGGCTGTCAGAAACACGGAGGAGACGCCATTTAGGCTCAGGACAACAAATTATACTGACTTGATGCGCACATGGCAGCAGTTTGAATCCCTTAGTTCATAGAAAGGACTACAATGTGGAAGTGAGATTGCATCAAAATAAGAAGTCTTTTTCACTGCTTAACAATCTATAAATGGATTTCGCCCAACCGGAACTTAATATCCTTAATGTTCTTTGGAACGAGGTTCTCCCTTCCCCCATATATCTACAGTCAGCTGTGTTAAAGAGCAGAACATGTGAAGATAGTTTGTTTAATAAGGATTTTTCTGTAATAACTTTATACTCTAGTTCATTGCTGAGAGCCAAGAATCAGATGACATGCTCTGTTTTTTGTAAAATCATTAAAGTCTTGTACCTGCATCTTTAAATATTTTTTTAAACACATCTACATCGCTCTTCACAGCTTAATTGCTTCAAATGAACGGCTACTAAATGACGATGGCACAAAAAATAATCACATCAATGGTAAACTGAGCGTGATGGCTCATTCTAAACACACCTACCTATAAGTTTTTTCTGAGCTCCGGCCGCATTTCAGTCTTACATTGATTTTACTGTATGGATTAATCAGTTGACAATAAAATGAACAACTATTTTGATAACCAATTGTTTCAGCCTTTTTCCAAGTAAAGATGCCAAACATTTGTGGGTTTCAGACTCCAACGTTCAGGATTAGCTGTTCTTTTCTTATGAGACTTAATGAAACATCTATTGTTGGTCAAGCATTTTGAAGACTGTAAATTAAAAGTTGCCCCCCCAATTTTTGACACTTTATAGATTGAACAATCAAAATGACCTTAAATTGCAGCACAGAAAGTCAATGGAAAACGTATTGCAAACAAAGTTGATGATCATTTAAGCGATTCTCAACCTTCTGACTTGTGCTACCAAAAGTGAAGGAATGGTAACTTGTCACAAGTTGACATTAATTGTGAGCAGTAAGCACCGAAGAGTGATTTAACCCAGAGCTTTTGTTGTAAATCATCTTACATGAAATGTCTTTGGTTTCTATACTGATGGTTGGACAAAAAGAATGCTATCTGAAGTAGCGCCTGACTGATATTAGCTCATCAATGAAATATCAGCATTGGCAAACATGTTATAGCCGATATATAACAGACAGACTTGCTGTGCAGAAGTGAATCAAAGTTATGTGGGTGGTTATTTAGAAACTGGCAATTTGTCCACCAGAGAACAGACACGTTTATTTTGAACTGTAAAAGGCTCTGTTCAGTGCATTTGAGCAGATTTATGGTGAGAGATGCAATTAATAAAAACACAACTAATATTGGCAGAGGTATTGTGAGTTTTTGAATGCTCAATCAAGTTTTGGCCCCAAATCAGTGTAAGTATCCGTCCGGCTTTCATTTGAAGACGTCACTGTGTGGACAGATAGATCAATTTTATCATTTTATCCATGTTTGTTTAGTTATTTAAAAAAGGACCAGAAACTACATCAATAATCAGCTACTGGGTATTTAGGTGGAGTTTTCCTTTCAGCCTTTGGGTTCGTGTGTTCAGAATGAAAAAAAAAAACAAACTTGCAGGATGATCTTCGGACGTGTCATATAGGACCGAACATTCAGACCCAGCGGGTCACAGAGTCCATGTCATGCAGCATCCAGACAAGTGCCATCATCATTTGTCATTTTTAATATAAATCTTTTCACCCTCACACAAATTGCACTTTTTTTTCTCCAAACGGACACAGCAGTGGACAACTTACTGGTTGACATCTTCCTTATACACTGAACTGGCTAAAAGAAGGAGAAACAAAAAAGAATAAAATAAGAGACATCTAACTTGATCTTACCACCACTTTACTATGGCATGCATAGGTTTCAGACCTTACTCAGAAAGAGACAACAGACACTTTGTCTAAGAAGTTTTCTAAACGATGCCATGACTGCTTGCGATCTGGAAAAAAAAAAAAAAAAAGAGATATGAAACAAGGTACAGAAAAGCTCGGTTTCACTGTGAGAAGAAGAGTCAACTCCGGGCTCCCCTTGGAAAAACTAAAGGAAAAGATGGATGTGGTGTCTAGAGAAAGCCTAGGCAGTCCTGTTTCTCTGCAAAAAGCGAGCTTAAAACACACAGCTGCGATGTCATCTTCTCAAAGTATTTGGTTCTTTATTTTGTAAATGTGGTAGCCACAGTGCAGTTGAAAATACTGGATGTTTTTTTTTTTTTTTTTTAAATGGTTTTCCTGTTGTATTTTCCTTGTCGATGCTTTGAGCACTGACAAACAAGGGGCCAGAGAAGGATCTGGTAACAGAACTGAAATCTAGTGGGCAGAGGAAGCTCGCCTCTGGGGGATGATGGGTAGTTTGAGACAAGTGGACTTGAGGGTTTTTCATACCTGAATGCAGCAGCAGCTTTAGAAAAAAATAACAAGACAGCAAAATGCTACCAGGGAGTAACGCAAAGTCGAGGTTTACTGAAGGTAAACCAGCATCCGAGCTAGTTTGACTTAAATTATCTGGTCAACTTAAAACAAAACAAGCAACACATTTCACTTCCGCTATCCAACATTAAAGCATTAACTCAAATTTAAATAATTCCCCAAAAATAAGAAATTTTAAGTTTTACTTATTTTTCTGCAATGATAGTGCCCCCTACATTACTGTTCTCTGCGGGGAGTCGATGTTCGGTACAGACTATTGATGTCAGTCCTGGTAATTTGACAATAACCATAACACAGGCAGGTTAAACAGCTTTTTTTTGGGGGGGGGGACTTGTTTTTTTTTGTCCAGTGGTTCCCAAAATGGGTACAAAGACACCCTAAAGGTGTGGACAGGCCAAGAGTGCCGCGGGATACATTTCCATTTTTTAATCTGTCTAATTGCACACAAGTTATGCTGGTGACAAAAGCTCACAGTTTCTAGAACAAAAAAAAAGTGTCAACTGAAATATAAATAAAAGCTTTGTCCCTGTAAACAGAGCTTAAAGAAATGCTGATACATCTGACTGAACCTGAGCTGAACAAAAAAAAATAACAAAACACTAAAATCAGTGAAAGCTAAAAAGTTGCTTTGAAGAGGTGTTGGAGTTTAAAAAAGTTTGGGAACCACTGGCTTAGACCCATCTGTGGTTTGAGCACCCGCCATGTTGACTGTGTGTAACTGCGAGATTGGAATCTCAGTAACTCATTTGCGATGCGTTGTGGTGTGGTCATTTAGCATTTTACCAATCACCATTGCGGGAACCATGATATAGAGACAGGCAACGTTAGCCAGCGCTCCTCCTCTGAGAGTCAATGCCGGACAACACTAGCAATGCCAGCTCTCAGTTGTTAAAGAGAGAAAACGTCCACTCAGGGGCTTGAAGTTTAGACACCGTTGCCACAAATATGTCCATAAAACACTTATCCTCTATTGAAATAAAAAAATATGTGAATAGCTGCATAATTATCTTTTCTTACACAAAAGTGAGAAGAATTCAAATTTCAGTTCCAACATTAAATCAGACGCAGAGCTCATTTAGAGGTTGCAGCTCAGTTTTACTGTTGCTTGTTTTCCGGTCTGAGTTCAAGTCTGAAAAGCCCGCTGCGGAGTCGCTAAAAAAAAAACGCGAGTCCACCTATAATCGAGGCCCGGGGCCAGACGGCTGCTTCGTTGGACCTTCCTGTTTTAAACCGAGGAGGAACAGAGGGACATTTTGGCTCCTGAGTTCTTTGTGGGTTAAGGACAAGCATAGACATCAATACGAAAATAAAGATTCACAATGTTTGCATCAAACCGGCTGTGCAGCTGGGGGTTTAGGGGGGTAACAAGTAAATCAGGATTCCTACACAGGGTTTCCATTTCAGGAATTTCATAAGTGCCAAAATTTAGCAAGGCTGTAGCCAAAATTACTTCATGGTAATTGCCACAATGTGTGTAATGAAAGTTCTAAAGCTCTGTTTCAGGACTACAGGGCAGTTGTGTTTTCCAAAATTTAACACCCAGAAAAGGTCAAATATATCAGCTTTCCACCTGCATAGGAACCCTGGAGGCAACAAAACGGGAACATAAAAACTTGTACAGTCTAGGAACAACCAGCACGCTTCAGGATCACTGGTGTCAGTACAAATCATTAAAGGATTGTGTTGTTTTTTTTTTTTTTTTTTCAATGATTTCCTTTCATTTGATAACTAAATATCTCACTCTATTGATATAATTCCATTTTGTTAAATTCATATATAAACGTTAACACGTACACACGCTCGTCACTGGTAATCGGTGGAATCGGGACCTTTATTATAATAACTTGGTGGAACTTGCTCTTGCTGGCGCTCAACAAATATACTGTGAATGCAAGTAACAATAATTAATATAATGATAATTAGGATGATCATAATAATAATAATAATAATCATCGTCATCTGCGCCATGCCTTGTAAACCTGGAAAAACTAAAAACCAAATCAAGAGCCAGGTAACCCCCCCACCCCACGAAAAAACAAAACAAAAGATTAAAAACAGGGAACATTGAGTCGAGACTGTAGATTCTCTGGCTTCTTCAAAGTCCCAACTCCACATGCGTCACACAAATCTCCGCCGATGTCCTGAAGTGAGTGTGTGTGTGTGTGGGGGGGGGGGGGGGGGAGGCAGTGCAGGGGGTGAAGTGGGTGAAGGGGGGGGGGGGGGGGTAGTCTGTCTGTCCCTAATGGAGCCCTGCGTTGGCTGGAGTTTGAGGACTCCACAAGCCTCGGTGGAGATGGGCTTTTCAATCCTGTTTTTAGCATCAGCCTGCCTCTGTGTTTGCGTGTGTTTTGTGTGTGTGTGCGCACGTTTGTCTGGTGCACCAGGTCGGCCATGGCGGTCACACGTCGGCTTTCTTTTCTCGTTGTTTTTGTCTTAAGTTTTCCATTTATGTTTGACCAGGGGTTGATCAGTCTGTCCGCCCCGGCTTGATGCCCCCACGTATACGGGGGCTTTGTATCTGCAGCGAGTCCATAAGAGTTCTCCGAGTATTTTCAAGTCGGCTACTCATGGCTGGTGTCCCCGCGGTCAGTCAGTATGATGCAGATGCAGCCTCGGAGGGCTGGAGGAGGGGGCTTGTGAGGCCAACCATGTAGGAGGTGTAGTTTCATATTTACGATGGAGAGGGAGGTGTGTGTCTGTGTGTTTTAAATGTGTGTGTCTGGGTATGTGTCGGCAATCTAAAGATCTGTCCAGAAATTACTCCGGGTCCTCAGAGGTGTTTGTGTCGATCGGTGAAAGCCGAACAAGAAGCGAGTGAGGTGGTTGACTTTCTACTTCTTATCGCGCAGAGAAGCCTCTCCTCAGCCAATATGACTACACTGATGGAGGAGGTGGAGGGAGAAATTTCTGGACAAGTCCTCAGAGAGAGTGAGAGTGAATGTGTGTGTGTGTGTGTGTGTGTGCGCGTGTGCGTGTACACAGGGCTAGTGCAGGTAATCGTCCACAGAGGCGAAGGCGCAGGAGCCGCTGCCAGTTCGTGCCATGATGGCGAGGCACTGGGCAGCCTGACCTACGGCCTGGGCCAGGGGGGGCTGCTTGGGCAGGTTGTGAGTCTCTGAAGAGAAAAAAGAAGGAGAGGAGGATCAACAACGTCATGACTTCACACCTTTCTGACGTCACAATTTAGCAAATATTTCCCTTCCCCTGTCTGCAGTCTTTCATCCTGATCGTGCATACCAATTTGAAACTGGGAGAATCTGGTTTCTCCAGTCCCCTACCCTGATTGTGCTTGTGTAAATGACATTTAAAATATCAGACTACTGGAGAGAGCCAACTTTAACCTGATTACTTAAGTGCATGTAAACACTCAAGGTCCACTTACTAGTGTTGTCTGGCGCTTTCAACCGCATGAAACAAAACTGGTTACAGGATTCAAAAAGCTGGAGTGTAGAGTTCAGGGTGCTCAGTGATGATCTTATATTCTGAAGGTTATGCTGGTCAAATGTAAACCTATAATATTGACAGCGTGGACAGCTGACCTACCTAATATTGCACTGTTGAGAGTGGAGCAGACCGGCTCTCTCTGAATGGCGTCCAGCTGGTAGCCGACTGGGCTGCTCCAGGGGTCCGAGTAGGCCAGCAGGCTGAACGCATCCTGCAGCAGGAGACAAACAACAACAGATCCAGATCACAACACACCGCTTCATCTTCTCTTCCACACATGTTCCCACACTATGATGCAATTCCTTCAACGACGATCAGTTCTGTACAGTCCTATAGTTACCTTTTCATCACAGGTTGTGCATTTTTCTATCTTGTTGTAGCCTTTACATTTAAAATAGTTCAACATAGGAAATATCATTTCTTGATCAGAGTCAGGTAAAAAGATTGATCCCACTAATGTGTCTGTACACAGCAAGTATTACGCTACCACCAGCCACCGATTAGCTTAGCTTAGCACAAAGACTGGAATCAGTTAGCCTACTTCACCTCCAAAAAGGTAACAAAAGCCACCTAAGGGAACCTCTAAAGCTAATTCATTACCATCTCAAACAATAATGATCATTATCGTGATAAATCTTGCTCAATAACAATGTAACAATTGTTTGATTTAATTCATCTGAATCACAAATAAATTAGCACTTAATTTTTCATTTTTAAAGATATTTACATTACAGTGAAAGAAATAATGATTTGACATTCATTGTGATAATAAAAAAACATTTTTGGCTGTATCATCCAGCCCTACTTTAGTTTAATTCAAAAACCGAAGTTTACAACTGACAATTGAGTTTTAAGGTGGGTAATGTGCCGGACTATTTCTTGGACGGAGCCAGTGACTTCCTGTTTATCTGGCAACTCCTCCCAGCAGCTAACTTGAGGTAGATGTTTACAAAAGGCAAGGAGGTCTTAGATAAGGACAATGTTGCATTAAGGAAAAACCAATGTTTTATTATCTTAAAAGTCAGGATATCTCAGCTTCTGCTGCATCAGTTTTCATTCTTTTTTAAAATTCTGACTCTTGCTAGTCCCACAACTATATAGGAAGTGCAATCATAAATCCCTCGAGTACACTTATGTAGGGCTATATGTAGTTTTCAGCGGTCTCTTCAGATTGCAACTACTACCTTTCCAGAGTGTGTTCTTGTGCATGCGCTCGAACTCATGAGCAAGTCGAACACACCAAAACGCCAGAGACAGCTTCACACAACATGCTGGAAACTCAAGTAAAATCCCACTGCAACGTTACAGTAATGTTTTTACCAGCCTGAGGTTGAACTAATCCATGCTCGTTATATGATAATGTAACCTGACTGCATTTAGCCGACGTGATTCATCAGTGTCAGCTCGCAGGCCGGCTTTTCCGTAACTAACATTACTGTTTGTATATCTTTCACCTGCGGCTCAGCATTGTGAGCACAGCTAAATGTATTGGGTGATAACGAAACGGTTAGTGAGCTGGACTGAATATTATAAATGAGATTGTTGCCACACTTTATAACAGTTAGACCGCAGTAAGAAATGTTACTGTATTGGATGTGGATGGCTCTTCCACTGTGTTGGTGTCCAGCGCTGCTATGTTGCAGTATTGCATATTATGTGGGTCACGTAAGTTACAGTGACAGAGAGGTAGAGAAGCTGCGTACCTGAGTATCTGTAAAACGTCAATAAATCTATATTGAACGTTACGAAGCAAACATTTTTTGTTAAAAGGAATTTGTCGACTTTCAGTATATTTTGCAAATAAACAAAGTAAATAGCAAATACCTGAAATGCTGAAATGTATGTAGTCATAACACAAACAGAGGTAAGTAAGTTCACACAGCATGGCTCAGGTAAGCTCACGGATTTCTGTGTTACCTTAAGCATCTTCTTGTTGGCCGAGTTCTTGCCACACTCGCGGCGGAGGTGTTCGCTCATGCTCTGGAGCTCCCTGCCGAAATGGATCATTCTCTCAATGGCCGCCTGGCTCCCGCCGCACAGCTGCCTCTTGGACTGAGCGGACTCCACCTCTGCAGAGCCACAACAAGTCCGGCACACAAAACGGGCATGTTTAAATGTGGAATGAATGTGATGGTACATTTACAGGGATTTAGCCGGAGCCCTTACCCAGAAGCTTACAATGACAGCAACAGAAGAATAAGCCTTCAATCCTTGATTATACCCAAGTGCTCAAAAAATTTTATACAAGACTAATATCTTACAGAAAAAGGCAGGGCAGAAGTTTCTCACCAGTAATTCATCCCCGGATTCTTACAGCCAAACAGATGTTAGAAAAGAGCTTCTGCTCAAGAGGCTGCTAGAACAGACCAAATACCTCTGCCCACACACACACTCTACCCACCCATGTCTGCATCACAGTCGTCGGGTTCGGTGGTGTGTTTGGAGCTGCCGTTGAGGAAACCATTGGAGGAAGACTCTGTCACTCCGTTAGTGAAGTGGTCAACCTCCATATCCACATCGCTACTGAGACACGAGGAGAACGACAGAGAAACAGTCAGTCAGTGTGAGTGACAGCTCAGAGGAAGTCCAGTAATTCCTTCTCTGTAAAGGCTGCCTTCATAATGTCGCTGACGATTATCTCACGTGAAACACTTTCTTTTCCACCGAGTCGTCTGATTTTGTGTCACGATAATGCAAATTAACTGTAACCACCCAAAACAGTGACGTCATGGTGTACTGACCAACTGACCAAGGTTATAACCGTTAATGAAGACGAATGAAATAACAAAAACTAGATGTGAAAAAAACGTTATCGTTAACTGAAATAAAATAAACTTTACAAAAAAACGATAACTAAAACTGTATTGTAGGTTTGTAAAACTAACTAAAATGAAAGAGTAAATGTCCTTAGTTTTTTTATTTATTTATTTGGACCCAATAAGCCTACATTTCGAGTGGATATGAAGCCAGTGGAACTGATGTTGGGGGACAGTTGGTCTGGCCAGACCTATGGGCCGGACAGGCAGCTCAGCGGTGATTAGCCAACAGGCACCTGTTGGTGAGCCGCGGGTGTGTTATGCTTTTCTCCTCCGCATCAAGAGCTTTCCGGGGTCAGGGAATGAATTTATAATGAATTTCTTGGGACCACTGGGTAGTAGGATTAGGGTAGTTCTTGGTTTTCTGTATGTAGGTTCAAAATTATACTGTAGGTTCCATGTGCTTCATTTATTTATAGCATTTATTTAGACAATGTGTTAGTACTTCAAATATTTTCTTGTGTTTGGGCCCCTACATACAAGCTTCAGATAGCTTAAAAAAGGTGTCCCTTTTCACAAATCATTATTTCTAATGATTGTACTTGTATTTTCATGTTTTCTGAAAAAAACTAAACCGGACTGAGCTTGGCATCCTGCAGCGACAAAGACTAAAACTAACACTGAAACTAATCAAAACTAAACTAAAACTAAGCATTTTCAAAAAATAAAAGCTAAACCAAACTAGCAAACCCACGTTAAAAACTAAACTGAAATTGAAAAAAGTCAAAATGAAATAAAAACTAATGAAAAATCCAAAACTACTGGCGTACACTTCTACATCACAGCGGCAAGGTGGAGATAGACCACTAGATAGTTAAGCTGCCGTTAAATTGTTCTTTAAGTTTACACTTTGTTAAAAGACAATTTATGATACAGTTAAGTACACAGCAGTTTTTTCTGTATTTGCTCAGACAGGAGTCTATCTCAGTTAGATTATCTGCACCTAAATAAGGTAAGAGAATTCTTACTGAATTTACAGTAATCCAAGTTTCTTTGTCAGGGTGTTGCAGTTTCTACGAGATGCTGGTATTGCACAGCCCGTTCTGAAGCATAAATTCAGCTTTATAAGCAAATGAAATGCTGTTGTGTTGATGTGTTTTTTCTCAGTACCTGGTTATGGGCTGTTGGCTGCGGCTCCCGTTGAGGCTAATGTCAGACGCTGGGAGGGTGGAGCCAGAACCTGGGGGGCAGGGCTTGTGACTGTGAGGGGAGGAGCTGTGGCTCTTATTAGATGTCACACCATTACAGCAGTTGCTGTCAAACCCTAAAGAAACAACAACAACAACAGAGTAAAAGATGGACGTTTAACTCTTAACAAGTGACTTACCCACAGAAATACTGAGGGGTCTTCTTAAACTTAACATGATGAAGTGTTTCTCACTTTATTTAATAAAATAAATAAATAAAAAAAAAAAAAAAAAAAAAAAGGGCCAGCTCTTTTTTCTTTACCTTGCGAGGCAGCTGGATTTGCGAGATCACGCGAGAATCTGTAATGCTTTGTGGCCTGAACCACAGTGGTTTAGACAAATCCGTATCCTTTGAAGGACTACTAGCAGCTACGGGTGTGGTTTAGGTGGGGTGGCAGTGAAAAGCAAAGCAACGGTTTGTTCGAAAACAACAATGGCAGCTCCTAAAGAGGTTAGCGTCGATGCTGCTATAGCATCAGTCATATCAGAACTGTAGAGAATGTATTCATTAAAAAAAGAGCAAAGAACACCACTGAAAGGTTCTCTCAATGGAAAAGAGGTTTTCATTTGGCTATCCTACTACGCTAAATGGTTTGTTTATGCGACTGGTTGAAGTCAGCTTGTGGCAGAGTGATCATTGCGATGTATTTTTTATTTTTTTTTCTTTTCCAAAGTGTTTCCAAGGAGGACTTCTTAGATGGTTCTGTGTAACAAAACCACAAAAAAAAAAAAAAGAAAAAAAGAAAAAAAAGTGTAAGATATCAATCTGTTAAATCTGGTTGTAACCATACTAAACACACTTTGCAGAGCAGATATTGAGGCTGTACAAAGGTAACTGCAGTCGCTGGATGTAAAATGGAGCATTATTTGTACTCAGGATGGACTTGAGGCCTGTTCTAATCTCCAGATGTGAATGCGCTGAGCACAGCTGGACTGTACCTGGGATGTAGGGCTGGGAGCTGCTGGCTTTGTGGCTGGGGCTGCTGAAGGGCCGGGGGGAGCCGGGGTAACTGTCCTGAGACTTTGGGCTGCGACCTCCCAGACATCTCACCTCACTGTCTGTCCCATTCACCATCTCTATGAACTGTCTCACCCTGAGGACGTGGAAGCAGGAAGGGGAGAGTGGGAAATGAAGAAGTTGGAAGAAAACAGAAGCCCGCAACAAAGCAAGAATTATCAAGATAAAAAGCAGAAAGAGGAGAGACAGAAGAAGAAACAAACAACAGAAGGGAGGGAGCAATAAACAAAAAGATGTAAAGAAAAGAGGATTGAACAAGACAGAAAAAGAGACAAGGTGGAAAATAATTGAATTATAAAATGAATATTAAGGTAATAAGGCAAACACTTGAATGAGAAAACAAACAATCCCTATTTCTTTAAATGTAATTTTTATTAAATATCATCATTGTGAATCATGGCACACATCAGTTTCGATAAACCCCCAGAAAGGGGACAGGCAGCTTTTTGCAACCTAAGCAGCAGGATTTCCTTGAAATATGGTCTTTATTTTAGGAAACATAAGTAATAAGAGACATCCAATTATCAAGTATGTGATTTAGTTCAATCAACTGTGAAAACAAACCCCATTCCAATGCGGCCGTGGTCTTACTTGAGCATGAAGAGAAGGTCTGGGTTCCTCTCCAGGAGGTTGGGGTAGAGCTGCTGTGTGGTCTCGATAGCCTCGCCCATTCTACCTGACAACACCAGCTTCTGGATCTCTGCAAACCAACAGCAAACACATTTAGGAGAGATAATATTTATTCCATGTTTTTCCCCAAAGGTGATACCGTTAGTGTGCTGTCCAGGCACCAAATTTAATTTGTTCTTATTTCTATTATTTCTATATGTTTACTGGCATATATATAAAAACATTTTACACATCTTTGCATGTCAGAGAGAAACTGCAGCATTCTGTGATGTAGATTTCACCCCCTCCAAAAACACAAACATTGCAGGTGGGATTAAATATTTCACTTTCTAATGTAAGATCATCACATTTGTTAAGTAAGTGCATGGATTTTCTTTATCATCTGTTGGTGACAATTTACACCCACACTGCTACTTCTACGAGTGTGATTGACAGGTGACTTTAGCACCAAAGACTGTGCAAGAAGAAAGAAAAAAGCTGTGTCCTAATGCCATACTAGTAGGTGTACAGTATGTATTATAAACAACTCATTACAGTATGTGTTTTTGCAGTTGGTTTACAAGAAATCAACTTTCATTGCCATTTTATATTTAACATGATATGATGCAATACATCAGTCATGCAAAGGAAACTGCAACTTCAGAATGTCTCTGCATTGTATGAACATAACCGACAGCCAGTAAATTTAAAATAGTTATCTTAACTGTGCTGATAAAGTCACCCTGGTCCCTCTGCTGCACTTTTTGTTAGTAAATACCATTTCAGCAGTATATACCCCCTCTGGTGACAATACCTTATTTTATTTCTACAAAACGGCAAAATGTTGGGAAAACTCCTGAGGCCTGTTTCAGAAAGCGGGTTTAGTGAAAACTGAGTAAATTGAGCCCGAGATGAGGGAAACTCTGGGTTTTCGGTTTCAGAGAGCGAGATCAGATAAACTCTAGGTCTGTAACCCCGGCAATTTATGCTGTGAACCTAACCTGCTCGAGAGGAGGTTTAATTCAACTAACGCAGAGTTTCTCTCTGACTCCTCCCCTCCTGCAGAGCATGAATGGACAGAGAGTTATCTTTGGACATCATAAATTTATCCTCAGAACAGAATCAAATATATAAGCTACACTGTCCTTTATAACACAGTGATTCTGTGGACATTAAGGCAGCTATATATCAGGTTGGCAACAGTTGAACATAAACACTTACAGTGCACTACAGTGCTGCAGTATACTGTTTAAACTCATCTGTATAAAACTGATCAATGAACAGTAACCTTTCATATTGTAGTAATTTTATTAATGTAACCTAAATGTCTAACTTCACTGTCAGTTTGAGCCTAGACACATTTTAGATTGCAAAAAAAAAAAAAATCATTAATAGCCGGACTGTCACTTTACACTTTACAATGACTGGTCCATGAGGAGCCTAAACTGTGTCTAATCGGTTTGATTAATATTTTCATCTTCAGTTACTGCCACCGGCATTTAGTGCAGGAGAATTCCAGCTCTTTATCATTCATTAAGGAAATTCCAGTTTGGTAAATGATGAATGTGCAACACTGTATAAAAAGTACTAATGGTAGCGCATCCTTCCTCCACTCCTGCGTTTTAGAGCCAATCATGGTCCGCGTTGGCAGCATTCATATTTCTAGCTCCACCCGATTAAAATGGAGGCTCTGCCTTTATTTACCCTTTGCCATGGTGACTCGTAGTATCAGAGCTCCATTGATGATGGCTTTTTTTCATCCCCACGCACGAGCTTCCAGCATGTTCAACATACTCAGAGTTGACTGAACTAATTTTAAACACCTGTTCTGAAACCGGAAACTCTGAGTTTGACAGCTCAGAGATTGTCCCCATCTGTAACCTGGTACCGGCATTATTTACAAACGCAAACAGAGAAGGACTCACTCTGTCTGTTTTTGATGGAGGCCAGCTCCTCGTGCACGGCCTGGTCTGTGGATTTGGCAAAGGCTTCAGCCGTTGCACAATAGCTGTGGTGCACCAGGTAGGAAGCCACCATCCTGACAAGAAATACAAAAACACAGTCAGTGATGAGACGCAGCAGCAGAAGTCACACAGACCATTACAGTTAACAGAAAAGAGCCTCTCTCCATCTGGTCACACATACCTAATCAGTTGATCATAGATACATCCGATTAGCAGTCGTGTTTTTGTGTATAATGTATTACAGATAGTTAAATTGATAGCTAGATTGTATGTGTTCCGTCAAATTGAACTGTTCTTGATTAAAAACATGTTCAAACACTGATGTAGCTACTGTAGTTAAAAACAATGTCAACTTTTTAAATATCTGGTAGAGACTCAAGCTTAACGTAGATTTAGATTTTTGTTTACTTCCGTTCCCGTAATTTGTTTGTAACAGTTCAGTAAATATGATATGTTGATTTAAGTGGAACTAGAACAAGCACAAACAATACTTAACCATGCTTTTCCTGTGCATACTAAATTATCAAAGAAATCTGACACAGACAGGCAGAAGAGGGCTAATGCTGCTGTAAATAGTGATATAGCTGTTCACTTTGAGTATTTGAGTGCAGATGTAGTCCGGATCACACTCAAAACCCAGAACTTCAGTTGAAGGTTAATTTTGGTTTATCACAACTTCGATCACAGCAAGTGAGTGAACTCAGTCTGCTGACCATCTGATACGGCCGAAAGCTGCAGAACACCTGCTAAATGGGCTGTGGAGTCAGACCGTTTTGTCAAGAGTGAACTTTTAAACTCTACTGGGATTATCTTTTTGTAATGTCCCCCCCCCCCCCCCCATCATTTCTTTCAGTTACACTGAACTCACTACGTTAATTACTGAGATCTGTGGTCAGACAGTACGTAAACAATATGAACAGTTTGCTTTTCAGTTTATTTAAAAAGGTAAAACTTAAAGTGAGCATATTGTACAGGACAACCGTGTGCACACAACTGTGTTAAATACAGAAGGTCAGGGTTGAACCAGGGAGTTGCTTTGTAAACTGTGTTTTTAGGACAGTTAGGGTAATAATTGTACCGTCCTATTGTTTTCATGTCTGTGGCTCAGCTGTTCTGATTGCCCCAAATCTGACAAATTACATTTGAGAGTAAAATATTAATAATATAAAATATTATTACAAATACAAATGATGTCCAGCACTACAAAGACCCAAGTTTCATAAAACCGGAATACTATAGTAAGGCCGTGGGGCAACTTTCATGGATAAAGGCAATGGCTCCCTCCACTCCACCCACCCTGTCTCCCTCAACCTCTCCATCAAATGGAGATTTAAATGCATTCAGGACAAGTAATCATAGCAACAGAGAGCTAATCCCATCAGGACACAGTATAAAGGGAAACCGAGTGGCACAGCTTTTACTTCTGGATCCCAGCTCCTGCTTTCTGATGGGGAAGTGGTCCATCTATACCTTTATCCTCGTTATGTCAGCTGTAATTTCACCTACAGGATCCAACTAATATAGGATGAGCACTGATCTAAGAGCGAGCAAAAGGAAGGAGCTGTATTCCAAAAATACGTAACAAATTACATGCAGTAAATCTAAAACCTCCAGTTAGCTTAGAATGAGCCTGAAGTTGGTGCAGTCTTCCAACTGAATTTATTTAACATGTTCAACATATTAATATGAAATTACCAATTAGTTTTCAGTGTTAACAAAAATTATCGATATTGATTCTACTTATGGAATCCAGTTCTTATCAAATCTTGGTTCTGATTCCAACCCTTTCACCACAGATCTTGTCAGCACTTAGTGACCTTCATCCTCTTCCTCCTCTTCCTCTTCATGGCTAAAGTGAAAGGAGTCTCTGTGAAAGGAGTCTCTGTACAAGAGGGGCGTCTCTGGGGACTTGTCTCTAAGAAAAATATATTTTGGAATCATTTTAGACATCGTTCATTTCCCTTCAGTATAAAAAGGGTTTTGTACTTGAGCGCGAGACGTTGCTACTGACACACTGAACACGGTGCGTTCCTTCAGATTCACACCGTGTTGACGTAAATGCTTCGTCGTGCTGGAGCTGCTTCCTCCATCGCACCAAACCTCCTTACTGCTGGTGCTGCATTTTGCTGTGTCATCTCTTTTTTAGTAAAAAAAATGGTTTGTAATGGTCTAGGAATGGAAACAGAAGGACTCTGTTCTTCACCAAGCAGCTCCTGGCAGACATGGGGAACTTTTATGGACTGTAAATAGCTCACTGCAGTTGTATCTGGAGTGCCACTGAAATTTGCAGAAAGTTAGGAACAGATAAGCAGAATCCAAATGTATGGGTTTTAAGGAATCAATGGTTCTTGGAAATTTGGTATCAGTTCCAAATTGTAACAGGTTCTAGATACCTAAAAATCAAATCAAAGTTCATTTACCTGCTCGACATTCCGCACTTATAAGCAGTGTGTTGCATTTCAGTAAAGTTTAGGTCAAAAAACAAACAAATAATGACAAATTCTTTAGACAAATACAAAACTTAAATTTTTTGAGCTTTTGTTGAGTAAAACTAGACTACAAGTAACTAATCAAATGACTAAAATGAAACTAAACCTTAAAAGTATTTTTGTCAAAAGAATAAAACTAAAACAAAATCAGTTGCCAAAATTGTTTATATTCTCAACCACATTATTCCACAGTGAACTTACTTCTGGATCATGGACTGCCATTCGCCCTCACGCTCTCCAATGGGGAAGCGGTCTATCTGGGCCTGGATCTTTGTCCTCCACTCACGCATGTAGTCTTCAATGTCGAACACGAAGGGGTGCTGGCCGAAGTTTGCGTCCACCACCTCCCCTGGAGTCTGAAGGCCCACGGTCGGGTACAAGTTAGGCTGCAGCAGAGAGAGATGAGAGAGTAAAGAAATAGGATGATAGAGGAAAGGGAGTTTGGGAATGTAATCTGGACAATAAATCAAAACCGGAAACAACGAGAGGAAAAAACAGGAAACAGAAAATCTCAGGAAATAAGCTTTTGTCTACAATTACCCCTTAAAACTGGATTTTACTAGCTGACAAAGATTCTACAAGGAAATTGGCTGACAGGTCATCTTTAAACATGAGAGGCAGGGTTAAAACTCCTGTTACATCGAAGGGACTGCAAGTAAGATATTTATTGCGCAGATCATACCATAATACATCTATCAAGCTGATCAATGTACTTTTTGTTCTTCAGAACCAATGACTCAGTGATTATATTGCTGGTGCGGAGATGTTTTGACTCTCTGCCTCACTTTCTAGCCCGCATCGTATGGGCACTCAACTTCCCAATCTTCTGTTTAACGGAACTCCAAGTCACTATAACCTCCATACCTCCAGATGTGTGTCCTTCAGGGAATAATGAATCAGTAGGACTTAGATTTAGTTGGGTAAGGATAGTTTTAATTACTCAATACTATTAGCTATACTATAGCACTATTCTATATTTTTCTTATTGTCAAAAGATTCCATGAAACTGGCCTTTTCAGTCTGACTCCAATCCCAAGTTCCCAATGACGATCTTTAAAAACATCTCATAAATATATAGTTTTATGTTTAGAAAAGCCTTAGTCACTTCCTAAATCAGCTGGCCACTGTAGTTTCTAGCAAACATTTGTTGGGGACTATTTTCACCTGCGGATTATTCCACATTTGGTGCTCTACCATGTATTTTTTGCACCAGGGTGGAGTACATTAATAAACAAGCAGACCAAATATCAATTTCTTTTTCCCTTTATTATTCAATTGTTCTTTATTATTAAACAATCTGAAGTGACCAACATATCTGTCCTGCCTGCCTTTTTTCAGTCCACACAGAAGCAGTTGATGTTGCTGGGAGAACGTATTGTTTGTCGTTGTACTTCAAAACAAATGCCGATTTTAGAGTTATTTCTCCAACTTGTATGGCTGTGTCAATCTCAGCAATGCTCATCACCATTTATGATATTTCCATTCTTAAGCTCACTTTAAAAGCTCTGGTTGGCTTGTTTATTGTTCCAATCAAGAAAACAGCGGTGAATGATCACAATACCACATCTATGCAAGTCACTGGAAAAATTATTTAGGTGGGCAGCAATTCGTGGGAATGAGTATGTGGGATTCATGACAATGAACATGTCACCCAGTGCAACAGTGTGGCTCATTGATGTCTGCGGACAACAACAGCGCTGTATTGCTCAGTGGAGGAAGATATCATACACACACACGGTTGGATTTGGCCGTTTCATGGAAATATGACCATACAGAATATTGCCAGCATCATCCTTTAAAGGCTACAGGCACCATCTGACAAAATCCAAACAGACACTTAGCTAAACAGCAGCCAGGCTCTTGGTAATAACGCATCAAAACTTTCAAGAAAGACAAGAAAGTCTGACCCAAACATCACTCTAAAACAGATTTTACAGGCATTTCTGTAAGCATTTAGCTAATAACATATTGTTTTATGACATGCTTCCTCATATAAAGGAATAGTACAACTGTGTTCTGACAGCTACACACTAGACAGGAACACGAAATGTTGCATGCCAATGGCTGAAGGTTAAGTACATGTAAATTTGTCATTCTGCTTATCTGTGTCGACGGGATGAGGACAGAGGTGAGGAGGCATGTATGGGTGCAGTGTTCTGCCATCCTGGCAATTTAATCAGTCTCGATTTGATCAGAAGACGTGGTGACTGACACCAGGCGTTCATGAGTACATGTATGGCGAAAAAAAGTTAATCATATGACGTAGTAAGGTAAGTTTAGAATTAGGACTAGTCTTAAAAAGAAATGGGGCTAGGTCAAGTCTTAGATTTCCGAGATATTTTAATGATTTCACAGCAAAAGAAAAGTTAGGAGTAGGTTAAGGGAATAAATATTGTCGATTTTGAAGTCCCCATAAGTACAGCAGTACAAAAGGTGTGTGTGTCTCTTAGAGTTGCCTTTGTCAGGGTCCAATAACCACAAAGGTCAGCTGTGCTGTGGTGACGCACTTCACTGCACTGGAGGAACATGAATGTCTGGCTCACAGCCAAGCGTGTTTTGCTGCTCAATGGATTATTGTTGTGGCTAAGACTCTTATTTCCTTCTCCCTCAAAAACAGCCCGCGGGTTTCATTTGCTACCAAGCTCTTTCACATCTGTGGTTAATACATACATGAATCCCATTAGAATGGGATGGCCATTTGGTGTAGGAGTTGTTTGCATGCTGAAGCATGGGAGCTGACGGGAAAGAGGCTCAACAACTGCGCTAAGCAACACAAGTGATGTTCTGTTCAGACGCAAACAGTAGTTACAAATTTTATTTAAGTCATATTTAACTATTTTTTGGCAACTTAAGGGCAGTGGAAACACTCTGTAAACATGTTAGTTAACAGTTGCCTCATCACACATCCAGCAGACACATTAGGAGCATTAGGAGTCGCGTTTCTGTGACCTGATGAAGTCAACATTCAATCTCCTTTTTGGGCCTCCACCAAGTCCTGAGAAAAATATCTGGCCCTTTAGCTGCCAAATGTTCCACTTCCTTCACCAGCTAGTTGCATCTTTATCTGTCCATTTGTCAGAACAGTTGCATTATAGCTGAAAAGGTAATAGTCATCATTTCCCTTTATGTTGCAGTCACAGATTGCTGACACCTTTCCTTAAAGTTTTGGCTGATCGTAGTTAGATGACTAAAAAAAAAAAAAGATTTATTAATTCTATGGCTTATCAAATTGACGTGTTTTGCTGATATAACAAATGTATCAGTTGGTGGGAAAAAATAAATCCACAGGACTCTAAGAATTATATATAAAAGAATATTCTGTATCAGACCTGTGAGTTAAAAACCACAATAAAATACACGTTATTGGCTGCATAAAATAACGATTAGAGCAGATTTGAGTAAAAGACTGATTTCAAAATGAAAAGAAGAATAAACTTAAAGAACTTGCCTGTTTTTGACTGGATATAGACAAAGAAAGTGAATAACACTAACACCATAATCAGTATAGAAGTGACATAAAAATTTCAAGGACTTTAGGTTCAACCATCTCTTAGTAAAGCAGACAGGATACAGGGTGAACAACTTACCCACTGAATGCTGAACATAGCACCTCAAATTATGTGTCACAGTTACAATCATTTACAATTTCTCACTTTCAGGTGTGAGGGGGTAAAATGTGTCCAAACTTGTTTCGCCCCAATTTTGGTATCTAAAGAACCCGATCAACATCTGAAGCTCAGGTGTTTTCCAGCCTTCAAGCCAACATTCTGAATGAAACATTTCATTCCTATCTTCCATCTCCTCAGTTCTGATTATTATGGAAACTAAAAGAAATTACAGCACAGGAGTGAACAAAATGTGGGTACTTACTGGTAGGTCTGTGAAGGCAATACCTGCAGAGGAAGACAGAAAGTGTCAGCATGTTGAGTAGCAGCACATAGAAAAGTGAAAGGTAGAATTTTTACAGTGTAGAGAAACAAAAGAAAAGATGGTGACTGTAAGCAGTGTGCCCCTGTATTCAAAATAAATCTAATCTTAGTCTACATGTCAGTTTCTGCAGTTGAACAGTAGGTTATATGCAACATCCAAATACATTTGAACAGGAAGTAAAAAGTTTGGTCTTTCTCACTGGAACTTCAGCTGAAGTCAGTATGGCAGGCAGCGGAGAGGATATGTGATGACTGACCAGCTCTATGTAAACAGGTAGGTTAACCTGTAGCCAGGCAACCTGTACAGCAGTGCACATAAACAAATTCTGGTTCCCTGTCCTAACTTTATTTCTCCCAATAACATGGCTTCTTGTGAGCATGAAGGTCCCTGAATCCTTTTAGGTCTAGAATTAATTCTTTGTTGCCTTAACTGGGGCACTTGGGGTTTTAAATTTATTGTTAATGGTTTTGTATTATTAAAAAGGAAGAAGAAAAAACGGTATTTGGGGAAATGTTCCTTTTTGTCTCAGCCAGCTGATGGGAACTTTTAAGTGTCTGTTTTTGATTGACAGCAGTCAGTAGGCTCAGTGTCAGCAGGGAGCCAGAGAAAACGCACACTTGCACTGTAGCTTCAAGCCACGGGCAGATATTGTTGTTGGTGGTAGTGAAGAGTAAAGCTGATGATATACAGGGCACCTTTTTGAGCAATGTTGCTGGGCAATCCTGACTATATTTTGAACGGATAGCGGCGAGGCGGGGCAGGGGCATTACGGTAGTAATCTTTACAGCCGAATGACGTCACAACAATGGCAGCTCCCATGTAAGCACACATTGTAAATGGTAAACCACAAAAGGCAAAGTAAAGAATTAAATTAAAATGATACATACCAGTATCAAATAGTAAAACTTGTTCTGTGTGTAAATTGATGCAGAAATATTTTGTCAATGTCATTTAGGTAGCTGGTTACTGTAAAGAATCTCTGAAAGTCATCTTCTCTACTCAAAAGTTATTCAGGAAAATGTTAAAAAATGCCCAGAAATGTGAAAACATTTTGAAATATAGCCTACAACTTTTGAGGATTACCAACTGATGTAGTTAGAAGGTGACTCAGTTAACGAGTAACATATATTTATCACTTGTTTTTAATAAAATGGCCATCCTTTAAATTAACACCAAGTGCACTGCTGTGTGGTTAACCGTGCAGACACTTGCCAAAGTCATGGTCAGCCATGTTTATTGTTTACATTTTAGAGTCATGCACCGCAATGCACCACAATGCACCTGAAACGCTTTGAGGTCGGATCTAACCTGCATCTAACCAGACCCAAGTGACATCTGCAGGTACATTTGTATGTTTAATGTGGTGCAGCTGAGCAGCTAATTGTTCAAGTAGCCTGCAAACTGATGTCAGCAGTGCACTCCCAAGTAAATGCTTGTTTGATGGCTCGTTCAACAAGCTAAAGTGCAGAACAAGACGTGTGCTCATATGAGACTTTAGCAGGAAAGCTAATGTTGGTTGTTGTTCAGAGTTTGTGGCTCTCTTGTGGCGCTTAGCTGCTGTCTGCTGTTACGGTTTTATGCAGGATTTGATTGGCTATATCAAAATAAGGTCCTACTAATGGTTTTCAGTCAAATCAATGTAAAAATTGGAGCACCATCAATGTTTAGGTGGATATGTATGCTGTAGCAGACAAATTCAATTCAATTTCAGTTGGACTTTTAAGTTATTCGCATTATTTCATAGAAATGACCTCTTCTTAAATTTATTTAAGTTATTTACAGTTTTTTAGTACCGAGTAGTAAGCACCAATACATCATCATGACTGTGTACAATTTTCCACAGGTTGACACAACAGAACAGCAGCATTATGTATTTGGCTTTCAGTTTCTCCTTACCTAAGCTGTGGCCATTCTTTGTGTAGAAGCAGGTGTTGTTGATGAGGTTAACGCAGCAGCCAATCACGTCGCCTGTTGTAAACGTTGGTCCGTAGGGTTGCCCGGTGCCAGATGAGCAGAAGGAGTGTCCATCATCTCCGTGGTAACCGTATGAGTGCTTGTCCCAACCTGAGGGATGTAGAATTGTCCAGGCGGTGAAAAGGTGTGTAGGTGTGTGTGATAACGCTACAGATGGTTCATTCATTGACTACATTTAAAAAAAAACAACACACAGATGTTTGTTATCCCCGTGGGGACATCGCATTGACATAATTGCCTAGCCCCTTATCATATCCTTAACATCACAACTACATGCCCCACCCATACCATGAAACACAGCTGTAACCACGCATGCAAAATCATTAAAATGCAGCGTGAATAAACAGATTATGAAGAATAATGACTTTCAACAAACTTACACTGCCTCCTCAAATAACCAAAAGAAATGGCTTGACTAGAGAAAAATGTCAACCAAAATGCCTGCTGTGTGCTGATTGTTTTAACCATATTTTGGGGGGAAATGTGCAATTCTTTTGAAATTTTTATGAGCATAAAATACAACAGTTCCAATGTTTTTCACTGTTGAATTGTCTGAAAAGTGTGTAAAGATCATGCCTTTGATACCCATTTATTAACAGAGTATTTTTTTTTAATTTGCATATTAAATAGGTGCAACATACTAATATTGTAAAATTTCAAGAGAATTAAACACACCGGCAATTTCATGTGTTTGGGCTTTATTTCTCGGCCATCCATGCTGCAGCCTCTGCTGCAGCATGGATGGCCTAAGGGCTGTTTCTAAGTGGCAGGGTCCTGTGAGCAACTGCTGACTTAATTCTGCCATTGCCATATTCATCACTGGAAGAGAGCAGTCTACTCTGAACCAGTTTGGCATCAGTTCCTCACTATTAGTGAGTTTTCATCAGCATCTATGCATCAGCTGGGACTGCAGTTTGCTCTGTGCCTCCTGTTATCGTTGTACGAAAATGACTGCGGCTCCTGGGCGGGTCCAGTTCTCAGACTGGTGAGGGGGTGTCTGGGCTCCTGTGTGGCCTGATAACCTCTGTGGAGCGCAGAGCTGACATCTACCAACACCATCTTAATGGTACCATGCCATGGCAAAGAAAAGAAACAGCAGCAGCTCCTAGGCTGCAGAAATCGTTGCATACTGAAGTGGTTGATACCAGTTTTGAAATGGATTTTCTTTGTAATCTTTTTTTGCCTTCTTAAAGCACCTTTAGACCACATTTATTTAATGGAAGTACAAAAACATCTGGAGGAAAAAAATTTTTAGGACAGAGCCAAGCTAGCTGCTTTCCCCCAGTTTCCAGTATTTGTGGATCATAATAAATATGATCCACATCATAATTCTCTCAATTACTCAGTTTGTTGACTGGATTTTTGTTTCTAATATGTACTTCGATATAACCAGGAAAATGTAAGCTACTTTACTCCTCTAAAGTTCAAAAATGTCCCTTCAATATACAAAATAGTTAGTTTGCTATCTCAATTTTACAGATTAACTGATTTTTTAGCTTTGTTTTTTTTTGTTTGCTACACTGATTTTTTTTATTTTTATTTTTTTATAAATAGTGTACCTATATGCACGTGGTAGGAGGGAGAACACCTTCACTAAATGACTCTACCACATTAATTTTTCTGACCTCTACAGGCTTTTCACACGTGTGTAGAAATCCTGTACATCAGCTTCTCCAACAATAAGAAAACATGAATATGCAAACAGATCATTCATACAGAATACATAGAAATGAACAGTCTCTCACTCAGTCTCACCTACACCCAGTACAGCCAAGTCTAATCTCTACCAGACAATATGTTCACAGACAAAATAACACCCACTCAAATACAGTTTCAAAGTATAATATACAGTAGATACAGACAGTGAAAGAAATTCTTCTCACCACACCCAAAAGGCAGTGGCAATGAATACTGAGACAAAGCAAATGCACAAAGTGACATCTTACCAGGGAGTCTGTTCATGTTTACACCCTGAGCTGAGAGGCCGATGCCCATGTACCTGTGGGACACACAAATGACAATCTCTTTTATTTATTTAAAATTAAAGAAAAAAAAAAGTGACCAGCAACTGATCAGCCACCAATCTTGCTGATAAACATGCTCGTCATCTTCCATAATTGTCCACGGCCACGCTGACAGCCTGTGAGGTTACTCATCCAAAAGGGAAAAATGTTGGCTGGATGAGAAGAAAACAGAGACAACAACGCTGCAATTCATATATCGTCTTCACCAGCGGTGCTAACAGTTAGCAGATTTGTCATGCAGTATTTAGCAAGCTCAATTTAGCATATTGTGTAGTAATTAAACTTTGTTTATGAAAGACACAGTGACCCAGAAGGTAAGGTGCACACGCAGAAAGTGATTTCCATGTGCCCAGTGGGCCAGGTGCGACAGAAGGCCATGCTGCAAGACAATGAAGAATGCTGTGTTTTGTGTATTCTTCAGGTAGAAAAATCTTGATGTAATCTTGATTTTGTCTATACTTTGTATTTTAAAGAAAGCTTCATACACCAACCATAGCTCACCTAGCTCTGTGGAGGCCTGCACCATGTTGTCTTTCGCAAGCACAGACAACGCTTTAACCACTGAGTACATCTGAGGCTGACAGGAATTCCGTCATATATCTCAGTGACAGTCTAATGACTTAGACATTTTGACCTGCTGGAGGTGTTAAATGAAAAGTCAGGGGGATCACCACAGTGATTCTCTTGGGAGCATGAATATTTGTATTTTACATGCATTTCTCTCGGGGTTAAGTTCCAGACTGACAGACCAACTGACATTACAATCCCTAGAGCCAAGCTGCTAGTGTGGCTGAAAACTGCTCAATATTTAATTAAACTTTTGAATCAGATAGTTTGACGTCCTGTTTCCTAACCATCTAACATCACAACCAGCAGAATCCAATTAAATATGGGGACATTTTTTGGACTATCAAAAGTATTCAGACATCTTGGGTCAAGGGGGGTCAACTGGTTTAAACCAACCAGGGAATTCATGTGACTGGTTGTTATACTGTAAAATGAGGCCCTTTAGATGACTGAAGTCTCAATTTGGGATTACAAATTGACCTATAGCCCTGTGAGAATGCTTTCACTTCATGACATTTGTGTGGGTCATGCAGTCTCCCGTATGAATTTCTAAAAGCCTTATTGCTACACAGGGCATGGAATAAACCTGACTTCTGACTCCCAAACAATGCCTATCCAAACGATTATATCTATCCATGTATAGACTGACAGACAGACATGGACAGCATGCTCAAAGACATTTTATTAGAACTCTAGTATGAAGAGAATATGAATATGACTAATCTCCAGTGGGCCATCCTCTTTTCTTTAGATGATTTCTGATCAACCTGATGATTAAATCGGGGCTTTCTACAGGAGATCCACTCCAAACTACCTCCCCCGAATTCAAAGGACCAAATTCATAACATCGATTACTCAACACTTTACGGCAGTAAGTAAATATATGCATGTAGATTTGGTAAAATTGCTGGTAAGTTATGTCTTAAGTAACAAGCAGCTACAATGAGAGTCACAATGCTGCAGGGTTACAGTGCATATAAATCCAGATTAGATTAGACCAGTAGTTTGTTTGGCCTTTCATTGTTACCAAAATTAAGCTTGGAGCAACTCTCAACCTTGTGAAAAATTGCATATCATCCTGCGTACAAGCAGCTTATTAGTAATGATAGTTGAGTTTGTAGGCCATTTATAGGATTAACAATATTTAAAGTCCATTACCTCGCTAGTGGCCCCATGAAGCTCAAGTTTATCATACACCAGAAAACTGTAGAAAAGTTGTCCCTCCACTTTTCTTTCATCCATTTTGTTAGTGTGGCTGTAACTTTGGCTCAATCAGCGTACATCTCAACTGTACTATAAGATGAGTGCTAACATTAGCATGATCTACATCGGCATGTTCACATGTTGATATTTAGCAGGGCAACATGTTGGCTGTGTTCGAACAGGCTAAACTGCTGTCTTAGAAGGTGTTTAACAGGACAGCGAGGCATCGAGTGCTGTTCGAAACGGCTCCAACGATCTCTTCCGGTCTCCTGAGATGCCTTCAAGCTGCCCCAGTAACAGCCAGTTTTGAAGGCAGCATCGATGGTGACTTGATGCTGACTATTACCCATAAAGCAGCGCGGCCGCCGGAGCTTTCGAAAACTGGTCAAGATGATGATTGTCGTCAAAAGGAGATGACTAATATATGTTTTTAAAAGTTTTTAGTAGTTTTCTCGCTTTGATTTTTGGAAATCTAGCGAGAAATAAACACTGAACTATAATATCAGCCCGTGACTGTAACCAACCAAATTTGTTCAGTATGATTTCTGAGGCGTCTGATAGCCGTTTGGCTTTTCAATAGCTAGTTAGCTGATGCTATGGCTAGCTAGGGCGTAAGTGCTGCCCTAAAAGGCTGTTCGAAACTAATGTAAAACAGAGCTGCCATCACTTGAAAGTGATGCCTTCTAAGGCAGCTGTCTATTACGGTATCGAGGCAACGGCCTTCCGTTTCAAACACAGCCCCTAACATTCTAATGATTAGCATCTTGGAATTAGCATGTTAGCGTGCCAATATGCCTACAGATAGCAGGTTAATATTCTAACATTTAGCATATAACATTTTAGGCAATATTGTTTATTTCAGATTATAAGAAGCAACAAAATACAAAATCATAAAAGATAGAAACAAAAACATACATGGTTTTAGCTTACATTAGGCAAGGCAAGTTTATTATTACAACAAACATGCAACCTGTTGCTGAACATAACAAAAGTTTACATAAATATTTAGCATGTTAGCATGCTAACATAGACCAATATTTACAGGAATGCAGTTATATAGTGAAGCGATAGCCAGGTGAATTGTTGACCTGCCGGAGGCACTAATGATGCCAACGAATTCTTTGCAATTCATCCAGATTTCATGGCAATCACTTTAATAGTTAATTTAATAGATATTTTACTTTGGACTCAAGTCAGATAGACACTGCCCTACCTTGAGCCACACCGCTAACGTGGCTAAAAGTGTTTGGGTATGTTCTGTCCTTACCCATCTCGGCCTTTGCTGATGATCTTCACCTCGAAGTAATAGACCCCACAGGCTGCTGGGATGGGATGAGTGGCCCGTACAGATGCTGCATCTTTAGGGGTTTTGCCATGACCTTCAGGTGAGAGTAAAACACAGACACAAGAGCAACATGGTGTGGTCACTACAAATAGATACTGGATAATTATTTAATAATACAGGGATAGAAATGCTGTTCTACAGCTGCTTCGGCTGATTATCACCAATTTGAATTTCCCTTGTGTTTTCAATTTCCTCGTCATACTTGTTTTTGAAGTTTTAAACCAAGGGGACTGTTGACCATACCCTGCAGTTATTTCCCTCCAGTACTAGTCTGAGCAGATTAAAGGTTTGTGCAGACTACATAACTTTCAACGTCGGACGATGGCCATTCTGTTCACACTACACAACTTGCCGTCTGGTGACGGGAGTCTCAAAGTCATTGTGACGTTCACACTAAATGACTGATCGGTGACAGGGGGTCACACACTACATGAGCTGACAACGGCTGTGTCACCCGATGGCTGGTCTCCAAAGCACGTTTTGTCAAGAAAAAAAAAAAAAAGTGAAGCGGGAAATGGCATGAATGTAAACGCAAAACAGCTGTTGTTTGTTATTATAAAGATAGCAATTAAAAATACAAAGAATATTGGTGAAAGAATGGATTAGCACATGCAGGTAGCAGGGATTGTCTGTGCTACAGAGAGTAAGAAGTGTTTTGCAGTGAAAAAGTAGCTGTCTGCTCTCATTGGCTGGATGTGGATGTCGAATCGGCCGACTCCTCCAGATATCAGATATTTGGCATGCTAGATTTCTGGCTGGCGTCAGCGATGTTTCAGGGAGCCATTTTGATGCGTCGTTGAGTAGTTCACACATAGCGACTGGCGGCCGCCGATCAATTGCTGACTTACCACTGATTACAGCCTGACTGTCACCGAGCTCGTCGACCGGCAAATCTGGCTTTAAATCGTGTCGTGTGAACTAGGCTTAAGTCAGACAAAAGGTGGGACTTCTTCAGAGACTCTATACCAAAAACATTTTACAACCTAAGTTGTGTTGTAAAAAGAAAACAACATGAAGCCAAATGAGTGCTTGTCCCATTACTTTTCCAGGAAAAAGTCTATTTAGTAGCTCTTTGTGCACAATAATTGCATAATTTACTGCTAATTTCATACCTGGTTTTTGGTCTGACTAATTTCCACATGAAACAGTGTTGGGGTAGAATATAATGTGGGGAGGGACTTTAAAATAAGTATAAGTTAAAAAAAATAAAATAAAGGCTTAGTGATGCCAAAATATGCCATGGCATATTTATGCATACCCTTGATCACAAGAAGTGTCAGTGGTCATAATATTATCACCTTAAACGCTCTGAATGTGGACCTCCTGGGTTCTGGGCTATGAAGTAACTTGTCCTGTCATTGTGTAAAGCTAACGTTGTAGCTCAAGCAGCTTTAATACACAGCTGTCAACAGCATTATTAGTGGTCATATCAGAAATGTTTAGCTTACACTGTTGGATGCTACTTAGCAGCAATTTGTAGTTATTACAAATAAGTGGAGAACTACGTTGCTAGTTTTAATGAAGTTCTACATGTCATGTTGATTATAGTTGGAAATACCAAGTAATGTCATGTATAACAATGATAATATCTTAACAAATGTGACCTAATCTGTCAGCAACTGCATCCCTTTATCTGATTGTTTTGGGAAAGATCATTTTGCGATTATGTTAGATACAAACATATCTACAAAAATAAAAACTCTAGTAAAAAAAAAATCGGTTAAATTAATAGATGTAAATAGACTAAAACGCAACATGTCACATCCATTTTACATTTGTTCTTGTGACAAAATGGTTGCCAGACCACCTTTCAGGTGAGGAAAACACAAATACAGTCTCACCCACAGAACTTGCAGGCCTACTCAAAACTAAGGTTGCAACATCATTAATTTCATTTTCAGTTAATATAATACTGTTTTATAAGTTTAATATATAAAATGCCCATGTCATGTCCAACCAACAGTCTCAACCCTAAAAGACGTTCAAACTTACAAAAGAAACCAAGAAAGCAGCAAATTATTTCCAACTTTTGAGAAGCTGGAACCTACAAATGTTTGTCATTTTAGCTTGATTAAAAAAAAAAAAAAAAAAAAAAAAAAAAAGAGAAATAATTAATTGTTAACGATTGTGTCAAGTAATCGATCAATTGTTTAACTGTGATAGCACCTTATATGAATACATGTGACAAATAAATTTGATTGATTTGACTACTTGATCCTCAGTCATTGTGAAGTCTCATGATGAATAAGGTAGTGCAGTTACTGTGTTATTGTCTTATTTAGACTTCATCTGCAATCCCAAACGCTCTTGGTATATGTTAATCTGATATTGTCATTATAATACTTTTTCCTACTTTCTCCCATACAATATTTTACAAGATATTGCATTGCTTATTCGCTCTTCAGATATGTTCTCTAGAAATGTGAACTATATCACCACGTGCACCTGGCAGATGTGTGACATCATTGCAAACAACTGTTGTTCTTTTCTAAAAACAAATGTTTCAAAATTCAGGACTGATAATGATAACTGGAAAATAGCGAAAATGCTTGTCACAGTTTCCCAAAGCACAACTGACATATTCAAATCTTGTTTTGCCAAACAAACATTCCCAAACCCAAAGTTATTCACTTTATTTTCAGTAGCTGGAACCAGTGAATATTTGGCATTTTTGTTTAAAAAGTGACATAAGCGGTTTATTGCTTATGAAAGTCGGTGCAGATCAATCAACCAATCATTATCAAGCAATAATTTCTGCTCTAGTTCCTATGACTGTATTATAACATTTTAGGCAAGTGACATTTGTTAAGTGGCCATGACATAACAAGGCATTTAATGATGGATACTTGTAGATGATAGTAGATAACAACTGTTCTCCATTTTCAGTTCATTTATGTCAACATGATTCAGATTCCATCCCATGAGTGCCAAAACACTAGGACATTTGACATAGCAAAACCTAGTTAGTAACAGATGGCCTGAGATTTTCAGCTTAACACTGCTGTGGCAATACAAAAAGTGTGACTGTTTCAAGTGGTTATCGGCCCTGGTGGTGGTTTATGTAAAAGTTTCCATTGAATGTTTAAGTTACTCAGCATCTACATACCTGCTATAATAAGAGATGCAGGTGAATGTTGAAGAGAGCCAGAACCTTCTAGTTGTAACAAGAAAAAGTGCGTGCAGAGAGCCGGTCAGACCCAGAATAGTAGAACACACCCAGGAAGCACAGTTACACCTTTTCTTTTTTTTTTTGTCTTGCCTTTTCTTGTAGGCCTGCACCAACCCCCCTTGATAGATTTGCTAAGCAACTAGTCAACCTGAATGTCAGACAAGACACTTGATATTAAACCTTCAGCAGCAAAGAACTACCTAGGTCTACCCTGTCATCAATAACTAACGTTACCTCACTGGAGTAATTTAGACTAACGTTAGACATGACATTCGACAGTGTATTTCCTGTCATTTAATTACCTAATGACGCTACATTAGCCTACCAAAATTGCTGTCTAGCCCTTGTCTATTTTGGCTACCATTAATAAGTGAGATGTGTTAATGGATGATTGTACATCTACGTGTAATTTGTTATATTTCAAAAGATGGCCTGACAGATCATCCGCCTTGAAAGCTTCATAGTGCCAGCTAAGATCGCAGGCAAACTGGTTAACAGGGTAGCAGGGAAGCTAACGAGCTAGTAGGTCAGTGTTGGCTCTGGATACACCTCGCCAGCTGGTCGGGTTGCAAGATGTCCTCGATCTTGTTGTTGATGAAGCCACTAGCCTAGCCTAGTTTGTTTTTAGCCCCAACGGCAGCTGGCTTTGATCAGCTAACCGTCAAGCTAAGCTAAGGTTAGCAAAGTTGGCGTTAGCATTGGGCAATAAAGTGCTAAACTTGAGTGTGTCTTTGTGTCATACCTTTATAGTGTACACGGAGGTTGTTCTGAGACAGTCCGATGTAGCTAAACTTGTCCTTCGGGCTCCAGGACCGAGGAAGCGGAGTCTCATTTTCATTAACGGCTGGATAGAGAAGTCGGAGTCGCTGGTTGAGCTCCTTTTCCTGCTCGTTCAGAGCCGAGTCTCCGTGGACAACAACCGACATGAGAAACCCACAGCCCGATGACTGTCCAGACATAGCTACGACACGAGTTTTAGTAAATTGGCTTGTCAGCAACAAGCCAGAGACACTTGTGTCAGTCAAGTTTTAAAGGGAGGTTTAGCAAAGCTAGCTAGCTAGCAGGCTAAGCTAACTGGCTTTGCTGGTTGTAGAGAGGCAGCCAGAGCTGGTTAGCCGAGTAGCTAACCTGGCTAACGCGTTTAGCTTGGCCAGCAAAGGCAAAGCGATCGCTGAAATGGCTCAGGTTGACATTAGCTGACACAAAGCCACAAATAGAGACGCCAGAAGAAGACTGTCTGCCACGCAGGCTCAAAAGAAAGTAGTTAAAAGACAGAGGAGACGGTTGTTGTTGTGAACAAAGTAACAACTAACGTTAGGGTAGACGGATCGACAAAGTATAATGAGCTCAGCTAGCCTCGATCTTTTGTTTGTTGTCGGAGCGTTATCCGCAAATCTGATTGGCTGAGAGCAGCTCCACTCACTTCCTTTGGGAATGTGAAATACATACACAGAATGACCAGTGAATGTACAGCAGATAGACGGCGTTGTGTTAACACAGGATTAGAACTAACTTATCACTCGGTTTAGAAGGTGGACATAGTCGGCGAGTCGTCATCAACATCAGTATTATGTATTCATCATCTATTCATAAGTATTATTTATTTTATTATTATTATAAAGTCATTTGTATCTATTATGCTACATCTTAACTCTTGATTTATACAAAACAAACCTCTGTGAGTAGGCTACATTTATTCAATGTACACTTAATTCTATTTTAATATCCAAGCAGCTTGCTGTACATTAGCCTATATAGCTTTTATTATTTAACCTTTGTGGGGGGAAAGCCCACTGAGATATAAACTCTTTTTCAAGGGAGACCTTGCCAAGAAAGGCAGCAAAACAACATTTAAAGTGACACTGACAACTCATATGGCAATAAAATACATTAAAATATCTTCCAAGACAGCTATACATACATTTAAAGAATCCAGCCTATGGGAAAATCTACAGTCCTTAATGACATCTGTAACCAGGGACTTGAACTCTCCAAGTGGTACCAGTGCTTCTAGTTACATCACACAGCACAATGCCACAGATGTCGCAAGTTTTGAGGGAACATGCAATTGGCATGCTGACTGCAGGAATGTCCAGCAGAGCTGTTGCCCGTGAATTGAATGTTCATTTCTCTACCATAAGCAGTCTCTAGGCGTTTCAGAGACAACCTGATCAACTCTATGTGAAGGATATGTGTTGCGCTGCACATTCTGGAGTGGCCTTTTATTGTGGCCAGCCTAAGGCACACCTGTGCAATCCCCATGCTGTCTGATCAGCATCTTGATATGCCACACCTGTGAGGTGGATGGATTATCTCGGCAAAGCAGAAGTGCTCACTAACACAGATTTTGACAGATTTGTGAACAATATTTGGGGAAATAGGCCTTTTGTGTACATAGACAAAATCTTCAGCTCATGATGAATGGGGGCAAAAACAAAAGTGTTGCGTTTATAATTTTGTTCAGTATAGTTGTAGCACTTCCTTCCAGAAAAAAGCATTCCCACAAAACATAATCCTCAGACATAACGTTTCCCTTAAACTGTAACTGGCTAAACAAAATAGTGATGTATAAATGTCATTTCTAGAAGATGAGGTTGCAGAAACCAATCGTTCCTGTGCTGGAAGGAATACTACCTGTCCCCAACTTTGTTGCGTGTCATCAGTTACTTTCAGCATATGAACTGAAATAACAGTAAACCAGATATTGACACAAGGCCGCTCCACAAAGACAGTTTCTCAGGATTGGTGAGGAGCCACCTTAAATGTCCTTATCTTTTCAGCTAACATTGTGCTATAGAGCACACTACAATACAAATTTACCATTGATCACATTACACCAAACTAATTGACACACACTGCACATATGCCCTTTGGAATCCCTGATGGTCTAAGCCTTGGTAAAGTTGGCCATTTGGTAATCCAGCCTTGCTTGTTAGGTAACAACCTAACAAACTACATTGTAACTAAAATACATCATCATTTAACAAATGGTACAGTAATATATTATTCATTATTGCCATCAAGTTTTGTCATGTTGTTTTTGTTAGTAGCTCTGATCAGAAGTAGATTACAAACCCCAAGAGGAAGAGAAGGTTTTTTGTTTTTTTTTCCGTTTAGCTTGCACAGCCTGTGAAAGTCCCTCACACCAACATGTGGGAATGTTCATTGCATCACTAAAAAGGAATCTGAAATGATGTTACACTCCCTGTAGGGAAGCACTTGCTGCACTTGTTGTCCACTGGAAAACACAAATGGTAGAAGGCCTGGACTGTTTATCATCAGCAAGACGTCTGTTGCTGAAGCAGAATGGGGACAAACTGTTCTGGGAAAATATCCTCACTGTTTGTTTTATATCCTGCTTGGACGACTGGTCAGGTGGAGTTTAACAGCATCTTGACAGCGAAGGAGCGAATACTTAAACACATGGAGTAAGATGAAAATGATTACTTAATGTCACTGCAGTACAGGTGAAAGTTTTGGATTCAAAACCTCAAGTACAAGTTTGAGGTACTTTACTTGAGTATTTCTATTTAATGCAACTTTATAATTGTTTTACTGTTTACTCCACTACATTTATTTGACAGCTACTAGTTACTTTTCAGTTTAAGTATTTATATAAATATGACAAGCATATCAAATGGAACACAAAGGGACCCCCTACCATCAGATGTCTATGACTTGTTTGAGTAATTCCCACTTTAAAGGTTCAGTGTGTAAGCTTTAGTGGCATCTAGTGGTGAGGGTTGTGAATTGCAACCAATGGCTCACGGTGTATTCACATGCTTCTCCCATTTCCTGAGTGGTGAAGTCCTTCTTACGAATTGTGTTTGTGGAATCAACATGGACGCTACTACAACGATGTTTTGGATTAACATTATCAGAGCATATAAACAACATGCAGACATCTAGTTCACTCTACACTGACAGCAAATTAACCATTACAACCATATTACAAATGATATGTTTGCAAAATATGGATATGCTATACGTGATTTTGCACAAATAAAAGTTCTGTATACTTTTACACTGTAGCCTACTTTTATACTGTATACTATTCTCAGGGTTTCTCTAAAAATACACTGAGCAGAAAACGCATCATTGATACTTCTCTTTTCTTCATTTGCCTATTTGGCATTTAAGTAATCCAAAAGTAACTAAAAGTAATCAGATTACATTACTTTTATTTTGTGGTGCTTGGATTACATTAAGTAATTTGTAATTGTACCAGATTACATTTTTAAAGTAACCCTCCCAACCCCGTTCTTTATGTCCCATGTACACTTTATTTCTCTTTTTGCAATAAAGTTTTAAGGAGGAAAAAAAGATTCTGATTATTCCGACAGTACTTGAATGCACCATCAGTCATCACTCACTCCTCCGTTTCCAAGCGTGTAGGGGAAGCTATGGTGGCCAACCAAGGGGGTAAGCAACCAAAGCCTGCATTGACGGTTCCATGTAGAGAATGATGCCCTTCCTCCTAGCCTCACTCAAGGGCTGGTCACATTGATTCCCAAACCTAGAAAAGATGTGCTTTTTATTGATAGCTGGAGACCCATTTGTCTGCTAAACAATGATTACAAAATTATGGCGACAATATTTGCCAGGAGAATTAAAAAAACTCTGGACACAATTATAGATGAGACACAATAAGGCTTTATGAGGAATAGGCACATCTCTAACAATATTATTAGTATTAGATATTCTTGACTACTCTGACTTTATATCTGAAGATGGCTTCATCCTCTTCTTAGATTTCTCTAAGGCTTTTGATACAATAGAACACCAATTTATTTTTCTGTCTCTAGAAAAATTTGGTTTTGGGGATTTTTTCTGGAAAGCAATTAAAACCTTATGTGTTGATGGCAACAGTTCTATCAAGCTGAAACAAGGAACTTCCCATAGATTTAATCTGAAACTGGGCATTCGTCAGGGATGCCCGATTTCCCCTTATCTGTTCTTACTCTGTACACAGATTCTCACAACAAGGAATTTCTATTGCGGGCAGAGATATCATCATCAGTCAGCTTGCTGACAATACCACAATCTTTTAAATAAACGCAAACCAGATACCTGTTGCCATTCAAGTAATTAAGCAGTTTTCAGAGGCCTCTGGTCTGTGCCTAACAATTAATAAATGTGAACTGTTGCCTTTAAAAGATTGTGACATACAAACTATTTGCAACATTCCAATCAAGGAAGAAGTTACATACTTAGGTATTATTATCTCTAAAGATCAGAAAGTGAGATGTCCATTAAATTTCTCACCAATCATTAAAAATACTCAAATGGACTTATCTATAAAAGGCAGAGTGTTACTTACTAAGGCTGAAGAGATATCCTGGCTTACAGACGCAGCTCTCTCTTTACACCTGGACAGCAAAACTTGTAAAGATATTAATAGAATGCTTTTTGACTTCTTCTGGAAAAACTGTACCCATTATATCAAAAAATCTGGTGGGCTCAACTTTTTGGACTTCAATACTCTAAATAATACTTTTAAGATTAATTGGGCTAAGCATTTCCTTAAAAACCCTGTCTTGATTTGGAATTTTATTCCCCCCTATATATTCTCTCGCTTTGGTGGTCTGGGCTTTATTCTAAACTGTAACTACAGTGTGGACAAACTCCCTGTAAAACTATCCACTTCTCAATCAGATTCTGATGGTGGACCAGCTATTTAATGGAGAGGGGCGACTTTTTTATCAACATATAACATTCCAGTTACGCCAATAGAATTTGCAATTGTATTTGACGACATTCCATCAGGCACAATCATGCTTTTTAGATATACTGGCAGACTTCCACCTACTTCTGCCTCCCTCCCCGATGTGGCTGAATCACCAGTAGGTAAAATCTGTTTTTCCCAACTTCCTCAAAATAATAAGAATTTATGTGATTTATTTCAGAAAGAAATTGTTTCTATTCCAAATGTTACATTTTATTCGAACCGATTTGTAAATGACATTGACTGGAAAAAGTTTTGGATGATTCCTCACAGATACTAGATAGTAAACAAGGTGAAGGAAGTGTCGTTTAGAATAATTCACAGATGTTACCCTGCTAATCATTACATGGTTAAATTTAAAAGAGACATCAATACAAACAGTTCTTTTTGTGAAGACCACCCAGAAACTGTTTTGCACCTCTTTTGGTATTGCTCACACACCAGAACATTTTGGCAAAACCTCTGCAGATTTATCATTGACCATATCTATATAGACTTTGCCTTATTGTGGAAGAATGTTGTATTTTGCTTTTATAGAAGTCAAAGTAAAGAAAAGTTGTACTTCATTATAAATGTATTAATTCTGTTGGCAAAATTCCACATTCATAAATGTAAATTCAGCGCTAAAAACCTAATTTTGTACTTTTTCTCCATGAAGTTCTGCTTTATTATTAATTTGATTTCTGTCTCCAACAACAAAAAGCAACATATGGTCAACATATGGTCCTCTTTCTCTTTGTAATAGCCTATAAGCTTCCACTGGCAAAGCTTTATATAATTTTGTCTGTGTTTTATATATGTATTTGTATACTGATATCTGATAAGTCACATCTGAATTGTAACCCCCTTTTTGCAATAACCCCCCCCCCACAACTATTCGGCCATCAGTGACGCTGCTGCGTTGTTGTTTGGGAGATGAGCCTTGTAGGTGGGCTGATTAAAAAGTGACGATCCGAGTCTGAGCCATGAAACATTTTTTTGGCCGTTGCTTTACGTCATTAAACCACGCTAATACTGGGCTATCATGAACAGTAGACACTGGTGGCAACTGGAAGTAGCCCTGTTATTGTATGTTGTAAGTCCAAAACTGGCTTCACTGCTCTCCACTCAAATCTGTGGGTGGCATCCTCCAATAATATACTGTCTATGTGGCCGACACACTCTGTTGGCTGTTGTGCTAAATAATACTTGTGGGTCTCCATTTGTCCAAATTTCTTTTCTTTTCTTACTTCTAACAAAGCAGATGACTACTACTACAAATACTTCTTCTTCTTGTATGTATTCACCGTAGTGAAGAAACGCGTTCTGTAGCACCGTCTGTTCATTTTGGGCTAATATAAAAACATGGCGGCGCAACATGGCGACTTCCCACGGTGTATGTAGAAAGAAATGGCTCGTTCTAAGGTAATAAAAACAGAACCGTTCATTATGTAAGGTCTTTGTACACCACTGAAAACATAGTTAGTATATTACATTGCATTTTTGTCAACAGATCCTCCTAAATATTACACACTGAACCTTTAACGTCTGACATGGTTCCATTTAAAAATGCTGCTGACACAATGATGCATCAATATCAAGATTTTTAATGCACTGGAGCTTGTAATAGAGTATTTATACATTAAAGTTCTGGGACATTTAATTGAAGCAAGGATCTTGATGCTTTTTAAAATTTTTATTTACATTAAAATATTTTTATTTACATTAAAATATCAAGAATACATGTATTCATTACTAAGGAAATCTATTTGAAATGTGATCTTTATGCTGTTTTTACATGCTAAATGTTATTCTGCAAAATCTGGCAGAGATTTGGGTGTTACAAAAATATAGAGTAATAAAAGAAAAAGAAAATAAAAGAAATAAATGAATAAAAGTTTGTAAAACAAAGTTGTTCTTGACTCAGCGGTGTGCTAATTACTTCTGCCAATTCTCGAAAACCATCAGTTACAGTGTCTTTAAAGGTACCCTGTGAAGTTTCTGACCACCAGTAGCGTCATGGAAATGCAAATATACATGCAAATATATTACGAGGAACGATGCATGTACGTTAGACCTCAAAGATACATACAAGAAAACTTTACAGGCTTCTTCTGGCCCTGACTTCTGCAGGTGAGACAGAATCAGGTACATAACCAGGTAACCAGCATGACAGTTTCATCTGACTTTCAGATTCTTTGTGTAAACACTCCTGCAGCCTTTGATTCAACGATTTAAACTAAACTGAAGTTTCTGTTTTGAATCTGGTGAGGGTGTAGGGGATCATCAGTCATCAGACTTTTTCCAGTCTCTGTTAAATACAAACACAGACAAACTGGGGCAGGTGTGGGGAGCTGTCACAGCACCATCTGGTGGTTCAGGCTTGACCTCACCACAGAGAATGAGATAAGAGTGATAAACAATACACTGCAGTGTAGACAGAACTCAACATAATAAAGAATCCAAAGAAGAAATATGCTTTAATTTATTTCAGTTTTTTTCTCTCATTGTAATTTTCATTCATACAGACCCATTTATCACACCTGTTTTAGCCTCCTAACACTGCTGACTGCTGGCGTCTTTTAGAATAGATTTTAAGATATTATTGTTTTCTTTAAAGGCTCTTCAATGCTTTGCAAACTTTCATACACTGTATACTTAGTTTGATCTAAAGTCTTTCCTGTGTTCCAGAGGCCCGACTTAAAGCTATACAGGATAGTTTGCTCGTCTGAGGAAATAAGGCTGGATGATTTAGTGTCATCTTTTAATTCGCCTAAAACATACCTTTGTCAAAGAACATTTCCTGATTTTATTTGAATTTTTTTAGTTGTCTTGAATTGTCTTTTTTATCTATCTTTTTCAGTATTATCTCTTTTACCTATTTGCAACTTCCATCCATTGTCAACCGCTTATCCTGCGTACAGGGTCGCGGGGCAACAGTAATACCCCCAAAACTAAATATATTCACAAAGTGAATAGCTTGCAAAAGATAAATCTAATTTATTTTATGCAAATATGTGCAATATTTGATTTGGGGGAACCAACTGATTTTTTTTTCATCCACACAATCAACTGGAACATTCTGTAGGAGTGACTAATGCTAATTTCTGGCTGCCACGGGTTGAACATGGGTGAGCATGAATGTAATTTTACTTTTCCTGACCCCCATGGCTGCACCTGGTACATTTTGTGAGAGCAAGTTAGCTGTAGTGGTGTCAAGAGCCCCTCCAAAATACAAACAAACTAAAAAATCCCAAATTCACTACATTTACAAATCACGACATAAAGAACAAAACATTTGAGAAAAGTTGATGGACTTCCACTCTACCAGCAAACCCTCCTAGAAGCAAGAAATGTAAAAAGGGCCTCTGTAGCTTTAACAAAAATTATCTTTAGCGAGCTTTAACTGGTAACCATTTTATTTCAGGATCAAACTATTGTATATCCTGTTGTTGACTCCCCCCTGTAATTCTGTCATGGTGAGAAAATATATGATATCCCTTTTTTGGTGGATAGAAGGTATTCAGTACTGTTCATGGTGATTTCAAGAACTGTCAGGACTTTGTGATGTTAATGTTCATGTTTGATGCATTTGATGCTGGGACACAATCTGAAAAGGCTGAGCACCACTATTAGTTAACAAATTAGAGCCAGAGGTGTCAGAGAGTTATTAATAACACCTTCTTGTTTCACAGTAAGGTATAATTCCACCAGAATTGGCATTACACTTTTAGCTAAATCTGACACTTTGAGCTCTAATAGGTAATTACTTGGCTACCAAGCTAAAGAAAGCACACATTAACATGTATAATAATGAAAACCCCCAAACTGTGAGCTCCATTTGTAATGTGCATAATGTTCTTGCTCTCTTCTTCAGTAAAAAGGAGCATTTTTTCTCCTATTAAAGCGTTCACATGGTCAGTTACACAGTAACATCCCCATTAGTGAATTCTGGAGATCCATTGTCAAGCACATTCAAAGCAAACCATTGCCCATTCATCTGGTCCCATTATGGCGGTATGCAGTCCCACAACTCATGGCAGATACACTGGCAGAACCCATAGACCATGATCATGACGAGGCTGGCAGGAACCAGGCTCACTAGCAGCACCCCGAGAATTGTCCTCTGCATGATGAGCAGGTAAACCCCCATGGGCAGAGAGCTGAAGTACAGCAGCCCCAGCACCCACACCAGCGCCCGGGCCGAGGTCTGGCACAGGAGAGCTGCACAGTTCCACACCGTCCACCTCTGCGTGATAGATGTCATGGAGTCTAGACTGGATGAGCGGTAGCCCCGGTTTGATGTGTGGGATCCACTTGGCTGGTAGTAAAGATGGTGGTCTTGGATGGATGCAGGCACCGGGGGAGGCTCCATGATGGTAATAACCACAAAGTTAGGGGAGCCACGGATGGAGGAGTAGCTGGTGGAGGAAGAAGTGGAGGAAGAGGAGGAGGAGGAAGGGGATGTCACAGGTGGGTTGCTACCCATCAGTGAGCTCAGGCGCCTGGGGCTGAGGAGCAGTTCTGTGGCCGCCTCCTGGTGGAAGTGGAAGTTCCTCTGATTTCTGCTTTGGACGGCCAGCGCCGCCACCAGATTGCAGTCATCTGGCAGGCTGCTCACTGCCTCTCCTGGCAGTTTGGTAAGGTAGCGGCAGAAGGGGCACACAACAGCGTTAGGAGGTGACTCACCCAAGTCCAGAATCTTAGTGAGGCATTTGGCGCACAGACGGTGGCAGCACTCGAGCACCTTCGGCCTGCGACTCCCCAGGTTGTACACACAGTAGCAGATCTTACACTCTAGCTCCTCTGTGCTCAATATGTCCACGTGGCCACAACCACCTCCACCATCCTCTGTGCTTTGCAGATCAATCATCATCCTACACCCAAACTCTATCCTGCCTCAAGATCAAAAGAAAAATCCAACCAAAAGCTCGGGTCCAGGCTCGGCACCAAGCGAATGTTTCCCACATATGGAGATGGTGACAACGGTCCACTCTACTGAAGGTCTAGGGTTCATTGTGGCTGTCCAGCAGGCTTCTGCTGTGTATGTGTGAGTTTGTGTGTGTGTGTGTGAGAGAGAGAGAGAGAGAGAGATTTAGGAGTTGATGTGGGAAGTCCCTCGTTGAGTTCTGGCCTCTGGGGTTTGCCTGCTTCTGAGCAGTTGGAGTAACGGTGCTTCGTTTGGGGCCAAAAAGCCTTTCATGGGCCACACGAAAAAAAGAGAGAAAATGAGAGAGACTGAAAGAAAGAGAGAGGGAGAGAGATAACTGTTAACACAGCATTAGAAGAGAACAAACAGAGGCAAAGGGACAACAAAGCAAAGCCTGTACAAACCAGAACTGGAATTTTCGAGCCTGATCTTTTGTTGCTCAGTGAAATTCAGTCCAATTAGTGGCTCACACACACACACACACACACACACACACACACACACACACACACACACACACACACACACACACACACACACACACACTCTCTATTAATGGTGTGTGGGTGTGCATGCACAACATGATGATAATGTTTAAGTTTGTATACAAACTTGTGTGTACAAAGGCTTGTGTGTAAATCAGTGTGTATTTTTTACTATATGTGTATGAGTTTCTCTGTGTGTAAATGCTCAACACACATGAATGAATGGGTGCAACGTGTGTGTGTGTGTGTGTGTGTGTGTGTGAATGTGTTTTGTATCCCTCTGTCAGAAGATCTTTCTTCATAAAACATTTATTTCTGAAGATAAATACATTTAACTATGCCTATTTTGCCATACATCTTTTAACAATATGGGACTTCCTGTACATTTCTGTATTTTTTATAATATATGTAGTACAATCAAAAGATATCAAAAGAGTCATCCCAACATTTTCAAACTCTCAATTATAACTGTTGAAAACCCTAAATGTTTAATAAAACTGGAAATTTGACAGGGACGTGAAAGGTATTTCTGGTACTTTTCCAAACCTGTTGAAAACTCATCGACCTCCTTGTGATCCACCTACTGAGAGGCCATTATCATGGAGACTGTCTTCACCAGAGAAACAGCAGCATTGGTTGTTTTTTCGTGGTTTCGTGGCAATCTTTCCCAAACCTTAACCAGAATCTCTAGTTACCTAAACTTAACCAAACCCTAACACATGGGTCATTTTGAAACTGTTATATGTATACACAGTCCGTGGATACATGTTTTATCGTTTATGTATGAGGGCTTGTTATTTTCACGGTTGATTCCTGAGTTTTGTTCAGTGTTGTCAGTGCCTGTTTTGGATTTGTGAACTTTCTTTTTGTATGGATTCATAAAGAACCACATCTGTTCACATGAAAACTAATAGACTTTTTATCCATAACATATGAATGAAAGATTTGCTATTCATAGCATTTGCTGTCACACCAACCCGGTTAAGATTTGGGTCAGTTAAGCTGCCAGTACACTACATCAGAGCTGCTTGTTAGACGGTTGAATAGCGGAATTAGTCGGAAACTCTGCATCTCATACCTTTCCCATGACGGATTTGGGGGAAGAGTGCAGCTGTGTCCAAGAATTTCAATAACTTTCCTAAGCTGACAATCAAACTTAACACCCACTGGCCAGTTATAGATGTATAGATCAATAGATGTGTGTATGCGTTGGAATCTGCTTTGAGGAGAGTAGCTTGGTGGACTGGCGTGGAGTAAAGGAGTTGCCCCACCACTGGAGAGTGGAGCTGGTCATTGTTGGAGATCACGGTTTGGCACTGAGCTCTGGTCTTGATTCGGATCCAGAACAGTGCAGGCGGCAATGTAAAATGGGTCTTCAACTCTTTGTAGTTCTTAGCTTCCCCGTTACTCCCCTAGACAAGTTCATTCTGACTCTGTCATGTGTGGCGAGTGGCCCAGTCTGTTATCTGTCATACAGCATCTCCCTCACACAGGCTGGATCCATCGAGCTATTATTTTGTTTGTCTCATTAATCATTTGGTCTATAAACTGTCAAAGAAAACGGCAACTGCCCATAACAAGTCACAATACTGTTATGCGACGACCTCAGTGTTTATGACTAAATTAATTTTATGGTTTCTGTGACTGCAGGTATGTTTGTGTTTATGGTAAGACCATTATGGTGTTTTTATACTGCAAATTTAATTGAAATATGGAAAATTGGCACATGCAAAATGCCAGGTTTGTGTTCAAAATGATGCATACTTTAGTACTTGGCTTCAGTTGTTATAGTGTGTGCAGGCTGACCAGACAATCTTGTGAAAAATGCTGACACGGCATTGGTCACTGCTCCTGCCTGACACATCCTGTGTAGCAGTTGTGTACTCTGTCCTGCATTGTGTGACGAATCAGGCACAATCACTTTTTGGCTCCAACCAGCCGTTTCTTCTACCAACAGAATGATATTCGGTCTCTCACAGCCAACTTTGCTTGATTGTTGCTTCATGAGAAATCCCAGGAGTGAAACTTCACAAACAACAGTTAGCTCAATTATTTCTTTGTTAAAGACATTGATAACGTGGTGAACTCAACAAATGGCTGTACAATACAGTAACATAAATGTAGTATATTGGTAAATGCATAATTACAGTATTATTAAAATAGTTTATATATATTCATATTTGATTTGTTAATTCTATTTAAAGCTTTTTTGACCACTAGGGGGCAGAATAACAAACAGTCCTTAGTTACCATTATGATGCCATCTTGGTGTCATATTAACGTCCATCTGATGAATGTGAGGGCAGTATCCACTGACTTGTTAGCTGTGGTTTGGTCTCCATAAAATCTGGAGAAAAATATCTATTAGCTATTTGTCTTTCTTCAATAGCTAGTCCTCAATTTTGTCTGTCTGCTGTTTAGTGCTAAGCAAAAGTATGAGCTAAAAGACACTAAATCACATGGATGCGTCCATAATATTAATTCTAGTATTCATTTACTTCTTTCCATATTTTACACAGCTAGACTGTAATATGTATTGATAACAGTATACACACACACACACACACACACACACACACACACACACACACACACACACTCCTGACATCAATGTCCTGAACCAAAACAAAACAAGCAGAAGTCTGGAGCGGCTTCAAGAAAAAACACAACACAAAACAGGAAGTGTGGCGATTCTGTCTTTCATAATAAAAGACCATAACAGTTACTGAAATTATATACAATGAAATTCCAGCAGTTACCATTCCCCTTTAGGTGTAGCCTAAACTTTACCAGGGTGTCAACCAGACTTGGACTTACACTGCAGAGCATTTATGACCTAAAGACTGATCGTGAGCTTCAAGTCACATTTACAAATTATATCTCAGTCATCACGCCATTACAAAGTTAATAAATTTTTACAATGTTGTACTTTAGAATTCAGAAAAAGTTTACGATATTCTTTAACAAAACAAATATTTAATGTCTTCATATTTATATTTCTTTCAGACACTTAACCCTTAGTTGCTCCAGAGGTGTGCGACCTCTGACATATATATAGCAATTGTAAGTCACTTTGGATAAAAGTGTCTGCTAAATGAATAAAATGTAATGTAATGTAGCCTAATGATAACCCTGAAAAGGTAAAACTATCCAGTATTTTACAAGAAGTAAAGTCAGAAAAATAAATATGATTTTGTGTGAAAGAAATACATTTTTATTTCCTTCTATCCCATTTATCATATTGTAGGCTAACCCCCCAGACCCTAACCCCTTTCATGAGTCCCTTCCACTGCAGGGCTACTGCTTTCCTGTCCACTGCCTACTTCAAGTTATCATTACAACTTTAAATTTAAAAAATGCATTATGTTTATACCTCTAACTCTCTAATTTAGGTTCACATTTTAACGCTATAGTTATACCTAAGTAAGCACATAACAGTGTCCTTTATTGTCCAACTGACACAGCCCACTTTTCGTTCCAAACGCGGGGACGTTTATTTTGAAAACCCAACACCGGAACCGCTATCGTAAACCATCCGGTTATCTTGATACCGATCTCTGCTGGAGGAGCGGAGCGGCAGAGCGGAGGGGCCCTGTGGTCGTTTTCCAATGCTGGGGAGCCGGGAAACAGGAACCGAGGGCGGCGGGGAGGCGGCTGCCGGACCGCCGGGGCCGCTGGGCCGGGCACACCGAGGGGAGGAGACGCCTCCCGGCCGACTTGGGTATCGTCTCACCGGCCTGGTCAACTGGAAGCAGAGACCGTGCAGGACTTCAGCCCTGTTTGCTGCAGCCAACACGATGATCTGGTAGGCATCATGACGCAGGGATATCAGCACACAGACTCCCTTTCTGGTTACACTGAGCTCCTGTTAATTAGAGGAAATATAATTAGGACTTCCCAAACCTCAGTAAAACATCACTATATTTATATGGATTGACTTAAGTTTACATTATCTTTATTTCTTTAAATCCCATTTTCCTTCAGAATTACTATAATAGGCTGCTTCAATAATAAATAAGGGCAAACAGTATTCTTTATATGGTGTTTCTATAATATCCCTATGACATTGAAAATCATAGGTTTGTATTGATTAATGTGTTTGTTTGAAATTGTTTTATACATTTCTTATAGTTTCTTATATTATATTTAATTCTCAGTGCCATAGCCAGGATTTTATTAGCCCCCCTCCTCTAAAGTCCTCCTGCTCCCAAAAACGCAATAAATATGACAAAATAGTTTTAGATGTTGTCATTATTTGGATTTTTTTGTATTTATTTACTTTATTTAGTTTAGATGCCTAAGTTATATATTTCTCCACACTGCCAGTAATAGTGGGAAGATACTTAAAAATAATCAAATTAGTCAAATTAAAATGCGTTGAGTCTAAAAACACTGGAATCTGACTATAAAATATTCACTATTTGTTTGTCTTTTAAATACTGGAGTGTGTAAACTCCCTCAGGCTGCTATTCCCAGAAATAATAGAGGACATGACCTCAGTGTCCTCGGTGGTAGCTGTGGTATATTACATTATTTCTTTGTGACAGTGCCTCAGCAAGGAATTTAGAAATACTGTGATCAATCAATCAGTTCATTTAATACAAATAACATATATAGACATAGACTTTGTGTATTTTGGAAACTCCTCAGTTTAAACCCCTCAAAACCTCAGAGACAACAAAGGGGATGTTCTTGCCATACCAAATGTTTTTGTAAAATTACTATCCCAGTATTACTACAGTACTTCTCCATGAAGTACGCAAAGGGAAATAATGTGCCAATAAAGGGTCTTTTGTATCACAAGAAAGGTCTTTGTAATCCCACATCATTCTGATACTGACAGGTTGTTATGAGTAAGTAAAGAAGAAAATTCTAGAAATCATAGTATAAGATGTTGAGAGAAATTAGTCAGTCAACACAGTTCCTTCATTGCTACAAGCATCCAACAGCAATGACAAACTCTAAAACCAGATTATTAAAATCTAAAAAGAATTTGGGCCGCTTCAGCTTCACAAATATCAGCGTTAGCCTTCGCCACATCAGCGGATCAACGTCACTGATGCGACATGATGCAGGGGTGTCTGATGCAAGGGAAACCTTTGTTTTGTTTCTCTGCAGGTTTGTGGCCTTCAGCCCTCTCCGAGCCTACAGCCTCGTGGCCGCCCTGCTGGCTCTGCTGGTCGTCACGGTGACCACCAGAGACATCGCTCGGTCCAGATCCACAGGTGACACGAAAAACACCTTCTTAGACATGCCGGGAGCAGGGCAGTAAAACTCATTAAATGCAAATCAACTTCAAAATATGAAACATTTGTAATGTCGTGGATAATGACTTTTCCTGAAAAAAGAAACTATTAGTTCATCGACAGGAAATGAATCAGACACTATTTTGATAATTGATTAGTTCTTTGAGTCATTTTTCAAGCAAAAGAGCCAAACATTGTCTCGTTTCAGCTTCTTAAATGTGATCATTTGCTTCTTCTCTTTATCTTATGTGATAGTGCACACTGAACTGAATATCTTTGAGTTTTGGTTGAACAAAAATATAAATTTGAATACGTCACCTTTGGCTTTATACACTTTATAGACCAAATGATTAATTGATTAAATTAGAAAATAACAGGCAGATAATGACAATAATCATTATTTGCAACTTTAGTTTTTAAAACATTAGGTACAGTAGTGCAGGAACTGTTCTGTACCTGAAGGAACAAATAGTATTTGTCAAAGGACACAAACAGCTTAAAAGATAATTGCGGCTCATCACAGCTTGGGTTTTCTTTTTGTAGTTTTGACCATAATTCTTATCAGTAGGCTAATTGTACTCACCAAGTTATGAGATAAAATCTGGGAACAAGGTCGCATTGTTAAAAAGAAGTCCTACTGGTTTGAAACAACCAGACTCGTTTTATAACCAGGAACAAGACCTTATGCCAATTTCTTTACTTACTTACTACAGATTAATCAGTTATGAAAATATTGTCTAACTGAATAACACTGCCAGCAGTTCATCCAGCTCACATTCTCAGATGATTTCACCCGGATGGCGACTCATTACCCAGATGAGTCTGAGATGAGGATGAGACACACATGGTCTCTCATCGGTTGCTCACCATTGCACTCCGATTTAGACGCATGTATCCGTAATGTCAGTGATGTTTTCATAAGCAAAATTAAAATGTGTGAGGTGTCTTCCATTTTGACCTTGGGACTTCCAGCCCATACTGATGGCAGATGTTCCTGTACACTATGACGGCTACCTGGTTATGGCGTTCCATGTACGCACTTCTTACCTGCATCTTACACCCTGCTGTTATGTGCTGTACTGTCTCTGGTGCATCCTTGCACAGTCTGCACCTGGGGTCCTGCCTGGTGTGGTAGACCCCAGCCTCTATTGATCTTGTACTGAGTGCCTGTTCTTGTTCCGCCATGATTAGTTTTTCTGTGCTGTCCTTTAGTCCAGCTTTTTCCAGCCACTGGTAGGATTTCTTGATATCAGCCACTTCTTCTATTTGTCTGTGGTACATGTTGTGCAGCGGCTTGTCCTTCCATGAAGGTTCTTCATCTTCCTTGTCCTCACCTTCTCCTTTCTGCTGCCTGAGGTATTCACTAAGCCCTTCATCTTTGGGGGCCATCTTCCTGATGTACTCCTGGATCTTTGGCGTTTCATCCTGAACAGTGGTCTTGACACTCACTAGTCCTCAGCCTCCCTCGCTACGCTTGATGTACAGTCTCAGGGTGCTGGATTTGGGGTGAAACCGTCCATGCATTGTGAGGAGCTTTCTTGTCTTAATGTCAGTAGCATCTATTTCCTCCCTTGGCCAGTTTATTATACCAGCAGGGTATCTGATGACTGGCAGGGAGTATGTGTTGATGGCTCGGAATCTTGTTCTTCCCATTCAGCGGACTTTTTAGGACCTGCCTTACTCTCTGTAGGTATTTAGCTGTGGCGGACTTCCTTGCTGCCTCTTCATGGTTTCTGTTAGCCTGCGCCACCCCAAGCTAATTGTAGCTGTCCTGAACATCTGAAATGTGGCCCTCTGGTAGTTCAATCCCCTCGGTTCTGATCATCTTCCCTCTTTTTGATACCATGCGACCACACTTGTCCAGTCCGAACGACATTCCAATGTCGTTGCTGTAGATCCTGGTAGTGTGGATCAGTGAGTCAATTTCTGGCATACAGCTTGATGTCATCCATGTAGAGGAGGTGACTGATGGTTGTTCCACTTCGGAACAGGTATCCGTAGCCAGTCTTTGTGATGATCTGGCTGAGGGGGTTCAGGCCTATGCAGAACAGCAGCGGGGATAGTGCATCACCTTAGTACATGCCGCACTTGATGGTGACTTGTGCAATTGGCTTTGAGTTGGCTTCCAGACTTGTCTTCCACAGCCCCATTGAGTTCTTCACGAAGGCTATTAGTGTCTTGTTGATCTTGTACATTTCCAAGCATTCCAGTATCCATGTATGTGGCATTGAGTCGTAGGCTTTCTTGTAGTCAATCCAGTCTGCCTGCTCTTGCAGTCTCGAGTGACTGCTCTATCAACCAGTAGCTGGTGCTTGGCTCCCCTGGTATTACTACCCATTCCCTTCTGGGCCCTGTCCATGTATTGAGCCATGTGCCTATTAATCTTAGCCGCTATGATGCCTGACAGGAGCTTCCATGTTGTGCAGAGGCAGGTTATTGGCCGGTAGTTGGATGGGATTGTTCCCTTCTGGGGGTCCTTCATGATCAGGACTGTCCGTCCTTGGGTTAACCATTCTGGGTGGGTCCCATCCATCAGCAGTTGGTTCATTTGTGCTGCCAGGCGTTAGTTTCTTCAGCCAGTAGGTGTGGATCATGTCAGGGCCTGGTGCTGTCCAGCTCTTCATACCTGCCACTCTATCTTGGATGTCTGCCGTTGTAATGGTTACTGGATCTTGTTCTGGGAGATTGCTGTGATCTGTTCTTAGATCCACTAGACACTGAGCATTGCTGTTGTTGAATGCCTCTTTCTCCCATATGTTCTTCCAGTTCACTTTAACACTTACAGATATACACTCAAAGATGTGTGTGTGTGTGTATATATACTGTATGTATGTATATATATATATATATATATATATACTGTGTGTGTGTATATATATATATATATATATATATATATATATATATATATATATATATATATATATATATATATATACTGTGTATATATATATATATATATATACTGTGTGTATATATATATATATATATACTGTGTATATATATAACAGTAAAAGGGGCTGGTAACCTCAAACATAATTTGGTAAAGAATGATGCTCTATGATATAAGAGGCACAAAGCAACTGAGCAGATCAGATAACGTTGCAGCCACAGCTCTACGTCTAGCTTTAATCTACAGCATCTCAGCATGAGACATGTTTCTCTGCCGCATTTTGTCCTTCAGGCTGATAAGATATATTTCTACATAACAATCTTGTGCCTACTGTGCTATGAAGTACAAGATGCCTTCCTGTCCACATAATTTTGCTCAGGAGCTGTTTTTAATGGCTTAGTTCTAATGAAAGAAAATCTTAATGCTGCAGCAGACAATGGTAATTTAGACAATGCTTACAATTTTGTGTTTGTCCGTTTCCTGTTTTTACATGACAGTGACCTAATGTACTTTACTTTGTCAGTAATTGTAACATATCCTATGAAGGCACATTTTATAAAATTACAACTTCCTTTTTGTTGTCATTCATTATCTGTGTATACAGCTGTCTCCACCTACATCTGCTTACAGATGTAGAAAGAAGTGTATTATAAACTGTTTTCACATAGTTATTTTCTGCTTGTAAATGCTAAATAGGGAGGGTTAAAGTAAAGTGTAATTGTAATTTGATCCAATGAAAATAACTCAATGGTAGATGCCAGTTGGCAATTTTAGGAGTGACAACTTTTCACCACAAATGCCAAAATGTTTCATTGGGAAAGTGTCCAATACAGAAAAAAATCTTTTATTAGCCATTTAACACTCATTGTTATGGTATTTTCCAATTATATGACCTACTCAGCGATGCTGAATAATAGATATCTTCTCTTCCACAGGAGCTCACTTATGGCACAGCATGACTGCAAGGTAGGACCCTGAAGTGCATCTTAAGTGGATGTTTGTTTGTGTCTGTGTGTGTTAACTTATTATAGCTTTTATATATTTGTTGTTTGAGAAGTGTACAGCAGTGAAGAGGAAGGAAATATCAAAAAACCCAGGGTTCTAAGCTTCAAAATAATTTCCTAATAGACACTGACTGTCATTGACTGACAGTTGAAACACTTGGATGGACAAGGAATTCTCTGGTTTGAGTCACCTGGGTTAAAGATGAAAAACTGTGAAAAAACTGTATCTGGGTTTTGTTGATAAAAAGTCAAAGGTACAAGCCCGTGGAAATGGATAGAAAAATTCCATTCTGTGCATTTCAGTAAGAAACATCCAGTCACTGAGCTCAAAAGTCTGTTAAATGTACCACAAACGGTAAGCTGAAGCTAAAGATTACGCTCTTGAGAGAGAGATTCTGGGTCAGTTTGGGATAAATTCAGCAGCTATGCTGCAGTGTTGGCAATACCTGCTGAGTTGTCTGGATATTGTAGTATTTTGAGCCTCTAAAACTGATGAAAAAAAACATGATTTCTCACAAACAATACTGATGCATATTAATAGTGAAAAATAAAAACACCTCTCTTCTCTTTGTTGCTTTATTAGCAAGTAAAGGTGTGGTTCTGTGGCCCCACCCACTCATGCTTAATATGAACAATGAGATTATTTTTGCCTTGAGATCAACTCTGGCTATGTGAAATGTTTCTTAAACTCTGATCCACTACATACTAGTGACTTTTAAATTAAATTTTTAAAAAAATTATTCCTCTAAATGTGAACCATGCCTTGCTGATACAGTCTACAGCTTCCTTCACCAGAAATGTGTGTCCTGTCAAACTGAACGCACAGATGTGTTGAACATACAGTACAACATCCTCTCCGAGAGTACACTTATCTTAAAATCTACAGCTGCAACCCAGCAGAGCTGATTGGTCACACATGACCGTCTAATCTAATCTTCAGACTCAACCATGTGACGGCTCTAACGCACAGTTTCAAGCCACAAATCACATACTCACCTTGTGATACAGTGTTAACCTGAAAGATTAGTCCATTATTAGGGACACTGTAGGGGGAAAATAATAATTTGAGATTGTGAATAAAGTTGTAATATTAAAAGATTTTATTACTCTGTCAAAGTAAACAGGTGAGAGGAGTCTGTCAGTGCCAAGCCAAGTTTCACCAGTAAGCACTTTGTTAGCAAATTATTAACATATTGAAATTAAAGAGGTGGTATTCTGCTTTTTGGCTTTTCCCCTCTCCTTTATTGAGTTATATATCTTTTTTGTGCATGTAACAGGTTTGCAAAGTGAAAAAGCCCATAGTCCAGCCCAAAGGGAGTTCCCATCTCCCACAGAAAGCTCTGCTCTGAACTGCCTGAAAACAGCTCGTTTGTAGTCCAGCCGTTTCCCTTTCATCCCTGTGACAACACAGCATGAGAATAATACCAAATCTTAAAATCTGACAGGTGATGTACGAATAACATGTCTTGAAGCAACAGCCGGAGCTATACGCCTGAGCCAAAGAGCGCAGTCAAGGCATCAAAAGTGATTAATCCCAGGGTGCTTTATGACTTTCTGAAAATGATATGACTCCAAATTGACCTGTCTACCGTATGCTGGGAATAAACGTTTCTGCTCTCTGTTGAGAGGCTAGTATCTCATTTACTGACACGCTCCACTACACTGACAGACACTTTCAGAGTGAGCAAAAAGATTAGGTAAGCGGTGCCCTACTTTTTGAACGAGGGCAGGGAAGACAATAACAAGACGTACATTCGCCAAACCAACCGCTATGTCTTCGTGCTTGATGAAAACACTTCCGATATATATCAAACTTTTGTGCGGCTTGCACACAACTTCCCCTGCTCGCGCACACACCTTTCCTTAATCTTTCCAGTGGGAAGCATTCTGGATCCCAAACAGAGCTTAGTGTCTGTCCACAGACGGCTCCCCGGACACCTGTGGAAGAGCCTAGCGAGGGGGAACACAAGTGTCTAGCAAGTAAAAATAGAAACTCAGGAAATGCTATTATTTGCAATCCAATCTTATCTTAAGCTTGACTAACTATAACAGCATTTGTTCCGAAAGTGTCTCATCACACATTAGCTTTATTCTAGTCTTACTTTTATTATTGTAAACCTAATCTCTTTGTATTTTTTTTTTAAGTTAATCTTAATGTTTTTGACTGTCAAAATACAGTAAGCCGTTGGAAGCTTTGCATGGAACTATTGTCAAGGAGAATAGTCAATAAACAGTAATTAAACAGTCATTAGCTGTTGCCCTAGTTTATATAACTGTACATACTATGAGCAGTGCTGCGTTCATGCCTTTAAACAGCTCCCTCTTTTCCAAACCATGGGACGTTTTGTTTAGAATTTATATTGAGTTTACAGCATGTAAAATAGATAGCTAGAAATATGTTGATGCCACGTTTGTTTGTACTTTTCAAACATAAATATGCTTTTTATAAATAGGTTACATGGATCACTTATCTCTTCTGATTTAGTTTCACACATGCTGCAGCAGCTTTTATATATGTATGAACTTATTTTCAGTCCGATTGTTCCAAGTTTTTACTTTTTCTGTGTTAATTATGATGGATAACGTGTTTATACCATGGCCTGAGCACAGTATGTTCGGGTGACAATATGAAACTTTACAGTCCACACATAAGAGACTGTAGAGTAACGATGCAGGATCAAAATGCCAGTTATTTTATATAGTGTAATGTTTTGTTCATAAGCAGTTCTTTTCTGAAATACAAAAAAAATGTCTCGTCTTCAAGCTAGCTTACTAGATTCATACTAGCTTACTAGCTTGAAGACCAGAATAAGAGACTATGATACTATAAGTCTCGATTGTGTCTGTCTTTAAGCAAATATTGACAGGCATCTTTTATCTACTCCCCAAGTACCCTTATAATATTATATATTATATAATTATACCTAATCATTTTTGTAGGTAGGCTACTCCTTTAATTAAAGCTGATCTGTAATTTAGCTTTCCAAGCTAGCCACAGCTGTAACTGTTTAATGAAGCTACAATTGGGATACCTTCTGTTTATGTATGTACCTTATGTATGTTTACTAGATTAATAACTACGTTGTACTTCCAATAAAAACATAAAGTGGACACTTTGTTTCTTCCTGACATGAAGCTCAATGTTACTAACTTGGCAGCTAGTCACTTTCCTCCACTTACACTAACTCATTTCTACAATACCTTTGGTCAAACTCTTGTTTATGGAATCATCGTTTTCTGATTTGTAATCACTACCACTGAACTTGTTTTCTAACACTGTTTCACAGTTGCTTCCAGTAAAAACTGTAAGGCATTCTACCGTTTAATAGAAATGTTTAGCTTGCTGTGTAGTTGTGCACCTACATGCATAGTGAGAGGAGAAGAATTGTATCACACAAACCATATCTTATTGTGTAAAAACCTCTTTGTAATCATGTTTTGAGTATTTTCTTATAAAAACAGATACACAAAAACCTGATCAGTCACAATTTGATGTAAGTAAATGAATATGTTACTTTTGTGCTTCGTAAAACGGTCCCTGTTAACTTTGGCCGACAGTCTGGTTTGTGACTGAGTGGTGGAGGTGGTGGGGTGTGTAGTCACATGGTTCACACTCCTGCCCTCATTTTGAAAGTGATTGTGTGTGGTTGGGGTGGGGGTGGGGTGTTTGTCTGTTACACGATGCAGCTGGCAGCCCTGAAGGCTCTGTGGGATTCAGCGGAGGTGTCAGGGATTTATGGGCGCCAGGCTGGATGCAACACATCTGAGTTATATAACTGATAGTTGGGTGAGTCCAGGTTAGGGACGACTCAAAAAGGTTTTCCGGGTAAAGACACACAAATCTTATGAGCCGGGACTCTATCTCACAACCATATCTATAGTCAGAGTTAGATTGCAATGTGGAAAACTGAACCAAAAATGCAGTCAGCAATGAGAAGATCTGCAGCATGGTCTCCTCCCAGGTACATTCAGATGGAGGTTTGGCAAAATTCTTTTTAAGGGAAATGTAATGATGCCATGTCAAAATGACAAACAATTCCAGCTCAAGGTCCATTTACAAGATTGAACTGGAGTTTGTCAGTGGATGAAGTTTCCTCAGTCGTCATGGAGATGGATTTGTTGACCAGAGCTATGTTTTGGGCATTTCTGATTTTTATTGATAAGGTAGTAGCTACCTGTACAATCTAATGCAATCTGTACAAACAGAACATTAAGACCCACCATAGTCTCTCCAAATCCTGTGGGAAACACTGTGGGAGTAAAAAGTACATTTCGACTATTTAATGTATGCAATGGTAAAAAAAATGGCAAAAATGTGAATGTACTTGTTTGGTATTTGGTATTCAGCAAAATCTTTCATTATATTCGGCTTCGGCTTCGGCCAAGAATTTTCATTTCGGTGCATCCCTAGGCAGAACAGTTTTATTGCATTAGATCATACAGGTGCACCTAATAAAATGGCCACTAAGTTTAAAGTTGAGAGGCAGGCAGGAAATGTTGGGAAAGAGAGAGAGGTGGGTGACATGCACCCTGGTCATGGTCCCTGATCAGATTCAGACAGAGGATGTTAGGGTTTATGGGGCATGCACCTCAGCCCCTTTACCGCTGTGACACCCTGTAACTCATACAATCCTAAGTACCCTTCATTTATCTGGTTGATGTTTTTTTCTCGCACTGAGGAAACAGTTTGATTTATTACAGGTTCCTTCTGTCCAAATTTGCATTTCTACCTCTAAATATCTCTCTTAACCCTCTGCTTCCCCCGCCCCCTCTGTGTCTGTGACATTTGGCCAGCAGGGTGGGATTGTGTTGTTGTCACCTGTTGTTGTCTGTCAGAGGTGTCTTGTGGGTAACTGTACATCAGGCTCAGAGCAAGTCTGAGGCAAAGGCTGGTGGGAGATTAGCTGCTGACCCAAAATGCGAGCTGACAGCTGGGATGTTTGAACCAACAGTGTCCCTTCC